CGTTGGAGGCTTCCCACACGTCCGACACGCAGAGCCGCGCCCAGCCTTCGCCGCCTTCGACGCATTTCGGCGCTTCGGCGCTTCGCTTCGACGCGGCGGCGAGACGCGAGAAGGACTGAGCCAGCAGAATGAGAAAGAAAAAAAGGGGCAAGGCATAGCAAGGGAACGAGAAATGGAATCAAGGAGCCCCTGAGAACCCTGCAACCCACTGAAGGACCCGTTTTGGTTGAATGAACCGGATCCGATTCCCGAAAGAAGGACACCATAGGAAATGGATGGTTTACAAAGGCCACTTTCATGTCAGCAAGTCCGTAGTTCCCCCTTGGCGACCAAAGTCCAAGCACAGCAAGCCCCGGCCGTGACAGAAAACCTGGATTAAAAACTTGCTTCACTTCCAACCCAGGATTTTCATTCATGCATTCAGATGGGGTTTAGTGGGGCACTTTTGGAGGAAAACGAGCGCTTGTCAAGGAATCGTCAGAATTTGCCGGCGGAATTCCACGCGATGCACAACCAATTCACCTCCAAAAAAGCCATCTCTGAGACTTTTGAGCAAGATCCTAAGAAATGCCACGGCTTGCGGTGGGTCAGGGTCTGTAAGGGTGGGGCAGGGGCTGTAAGGCTCCCGGTGATGTCCATATAAGACCAGCGCTGCTTCAAACCTGTTTGCTCCAACCCAGCCCACCGCACCCCACTCCCCATGGACAGGAACAAGGAATCCCTCTCAAATGCGACACAATCGATTGGTTCATAAGTTCTGGGCTCAGCTTTTGCCCATCCAAGAGAGGTCTGGGTTTGTCATTCTTTGGAGGCTTCCCTGAAATCAAACTTGCAAAGCAGCTATCAGTTGTGCGTTACGTGTCTATATAATACGATTCAACCGTCAAGAACAACTACTGAAATTCTGAAAAGGGCGGCTTTTCCTAGGGGGAACTAAAGGGAGACCAAAGCCACGTGTCCAGTTTCCTATTTCAAGACACCCCCATTTTGACTTGGCGAAGCTGATGCCCAGATTCTTTCAGACAGGGCCTCGCCAATCACCTCCAGTACCTCCAGTCCCATTGGCAGGGTTTGTGTCAGTCGACCTTTGAAGGGTCTTACCCCCCCCCCCCCCACACCAAAACAGAAAAATCAGAAAAGGTCACGACTGGGGGTTTGGGTAGACAGCCCTCCCAAAAACCAAAACCAAGTTGAACCAGGGCTAGAACTTCCGGTTGCTCCTAGCTCCCCCATCCCCATGACAAGCCAATTTACATACCTCCAGCTCACTTCCCAGCCCGCGCGGCGCCTGCCGTGCGGAGCCCCGTCCAGCGCTTCAGCTCCAGGCCCCGCAGCGGAGGAATGTCAGAGGAAGGCCAGGCCTACCGTCAGCTTCCATCCCATTGGGGGAGGGAACGGGCCCCCCCTTTTGGTGGTTGATTTTAACCCCGCCCCCCCCCCCCCCCCGGTTGGTTCCCCTTGCAAACAAGGGGGCTCAAACAGAATCTCAGCGTCCCTCCAATTGGTGGCTTGGAGCCGGATCGAGAGGGGGTTCCATTCACCATCCACAAAGGCCTGGCCGTCAAATCCCAATCCAAACCAAACCACCAAGTGAGGGTCACCTGATACAGGGCAGCAAACAAAAAAGCGGCTCCCCTCTGGGCGCGTCGTGTTTGTCGAATTGGAACCACTGGTTCGCCATGTGTTCAAGTTGCAAGCCACAAGACTACAGCTGGTTTTGGGCTTGTTTCTTTGAGTTGAAACTGCTTCTTGCTTTGGGCCGGGGGGGGTTCACCCAGAACCCCAGTTGAGCTAGAGGAATTGGCTTCAACTCCCAAACCAATCCAAACCAAGAGTTCCCTGAAGGAACCGTTGGGGACCAAAAAGCGCTCATAGCACCAGATAAGGGCAAATAAGGCGTTGCCGCTCGTCGCGGCCTGGGCCTCGGTCCAAAAACCGGGCTCCACAGACCGGAAACTCGGCGCCAAAGGCGCGAAAATGGTCGGTGTTCCTCCCTTTCGTTGTTGGCCCCTCTGTCTTGGCCACCCACCCGAAACAGCCTCATCCCTGGGAAACTCAAATCGCCAAACCTCTTTCCATGATGTCTTCGGACGTCAGGTCCAATTGGCGCCAATAACCGACGCCATCCCCAAAAGGCGGCCGGCCGACGTCCACCCAGGAAATGGTGTGTCTTAAACCGCGGGAAGCCTCAAAATGGGGCGGTGTATAGCCCTTTCTACCCCCCCCCCGCTCCGAAATCGGCTGTGAACAAGATTGGTTTGAACAAACAACGGCCTCAGCAATACCCTCTTTCCAACAATCATGGGACTGGGTTTGACAGGCTTCCTGAAAAGGAAAGTAGCCTTAGCCTTAACCCCGATCGACTTCCATCACTCTTGGAACGGAGTCGTGACTTGTGTTTCAACACGGTGTTAATTTTACGGCAGCGGATGGAACCTGAAAAATCGGGGCCAAAGCCGATTCCTCGACTGATTTTGTGTGGGGGAGTTGCATGTCAATCTGAGAGGTGGATGTCGTCCGGCGCCGGGGGATGCATGTCAATGGTTCCCCTTCCCCCCCCAAAAAGAAAATGGTTGGAAAAATGATTTCAAGGGTCCCCAAAAAGCCGAACTTTTGCACCCAAGTCGGGCAAGCGCGCCGCGCCTCCCAGGCAGAAGCGTCAAAGGTGCAGTTGCCCATGAGCACCTCTGAGTGCCACATCCTCAGCGCGTCAATTCGAGTGCGGAGACGTCTTTCGGAAATCAACTTGTGCTTGGGTGGGGGTTGGCCAAGTTCGTGCAAGGAAAATCCTGTAGGCGTTCCTTCCCACATTCCGAGTCTCACTACAAAAGTGAGGGGGAATCATGTGGCCTCCAGGATCCCTTTGGAGGGATGACTCAGTCCGCCCTTCCGACTCATTTCCTGCCTATCAAACCAAGTAAAAATGGGGGCATGATTTTGACCTGTTTCTAGGGGTTGTCCAAGTTAACTGGGGTGGTTTCCTTACCGACTGGCCAATCAAAGCAGCAAGAAAAGGGGTAACTCACGGAACCTGAAATGGACCGTTGGAAGACAACAAAACAACGCCAGTGTCCGACTTTCATCATTCACCCTGCCTGAAACAGTCGAAACAGCCAACCAGCCAACCAGCCAAAGAACGACCAACCAGCTAAAGGGCCCCCCCGACACAGTGGAAGCAATGAACCGCGAAAGACTTGCAGCAGGGAATTTGAATAGCCAGTCGGAAAACCGTTTATTGTTTTTATGGGTTTCCTTTAGGGGGATGTCCTTCGCAACACCCGGACTCGTTGTCCCGACCCATCGCACCAGCAAGAGTACCCGCAAGAAACGGCCCAAGTGGTCTGCTCCAGGGAACAACCGAATTTCTCAGTTGCCCAAAAGCTTTGGGACCCAGAAACCAACGACCACCACCATTGGTGGCTAGGACTTCTGGACCAAAAGTTTAGATCCGGTCGGCTCTGGGAAAGTGGAGATCGTGGGGAGCGGGGACCCTCCAACAGTGAACTAAGCCCCCACTAAAAGGGGACAACCCCCCTACTGTTCGTGGACGAAATCCTCTTCTTCAGAAAGCCTGGTTTCTGATTCGAGTCCCTTGCAAACACCCAGACACTTGATCTTCCAGGACCCTGAAAAAGCAGGCCGTTGGCATTTTTTTCCTTTCCCAACCAACAGCAACATCAAGAAGAGCCCTGTTTTTGCAGGTTCTTGGAAGACCAAGGTTTCAGTTTGTGGTGCAAAATGGACTTCGTCCGTCCACAGTGTTTATCAAGCGGACCGAGGCTTAGCCAAGGGTCTGCGAGATAAGGATGGCGTCTTGGCTGCCGTTGGGGCCATTGAAGATGCCCACCTTCTTCTCGGTCTCTCGCCAGTACAGGCGGGCGACCACCACAGTCTCGTTGCCATTTACGAGGATCCTCGGGCAGTTGGCCATGAACCACGTAAGTCTCACTGACAGTTGGTTCAATTGGGTAGGCCCCAAATAGAAATTTGCGAGAAAATCGAGGGATATTGGGTAGGACCCCCTACGTCATCTTCAAATGAACAACATCCGGCCCTGGGCGGATAGGTGCAAAAAAAACACAAACTTCAAATGGTGGTGGTGGTGGTGGTGGTGGTGGTGGTGGTGGTGGTGGTGGTGGTGGTGGTGGTGGTGGTGGTGGTGGTGGTGGTGGTGGTGGTGGTGGTGGTGGTGGTGGTGGTGGTGGTGAAGGTAACGATGACGAGGACGAGGACGAGGACGATGACGACGACGATGACGACGATGATGATGATGATGATGACGATGAACATCTTCTCCCGCTACGCATTCCAACTGGCTTGTTCAAAGGCACAGTACTCTTCCAAGCCCCTCCTCCAGACGCTCCCGACAAGTAAGTCGCCTCCCTAAAATCTGCTCAACAGCTGGGCAGGGACCCCAACTCAACAACAAGAAACCGGCCAAGCATCGAAGGGTTGATGATCGAAGCGCCGTCCCTCAATGCATCATCCAAGGGCAACTCAAGGCGCATGTCCACCATCCGGTCAAGCACCTTCGCCCGGATGGGAAGCGAAAAAGCGAGGCGTTGGCTTTGCCAAAGACAAATTTGTGGGGGAGGTTTGGGGTTTTGGGGGGGTTTGGTTGGGGGGTTTGGGGGTTGGGGTTTGGGCAAGGGTTTGGGGGGGGGGGTTGGGGGTTGGGGGGGTTTGGGGGGGTTGGGGGTGTTGGGGGGTGTTGGGGGGGTTTGGTGGAGTGGGTGATTGGGTTGGGTGGCTCAGCCTGCTTGTTTGTGCAACTGCCTTCCAAATAACTGCATTCAAACCAGGAGATCTCATGCCCGGAGCATCCAGCGACCGCTTTAGTGGCCAACCAGCACAAGTTCCACAATGAGGAACTCAGGGAGCTGAGTATGGGAGGCCCACTCAGGAATCACTTAGAGGGTTGCCTTAAGAAGAGCCTCGCCCTGGCTGAAATGGAGAAGCCGAAACTGGCTGCTGACACCGGACCTAAACGAAAAACAAAACCACACAAAGTGAACAGGAAGCAGAAAGGAAGCCGCAAGAAAGCCGAACAACTGGGTTTGTCTGCCCTATGGCTTGATTTAGGGGGAAAGCAACCAGAGCCAGAGGAAAACCGAGGGAAACGGCATAGAGCAGCCCAGCTTTTCTAGGCTTGGGCATGGGGTTGCTTAATCTTGGTGGTTCCCAGCCATCCTTGGCTTTTTAGCCTTTTAGTGTTTGGTGATTTCCATTCAACCCACTGGTTTGCCTTGTGGTTTGCCTTGCTGGTAAATGGTGGTTATATCAACCCCCGGGAAGTGGTTTGCCTTACCACTGGGGCCCTTTGATGAGTCGATAGGTGGTCCGGCGCTTGTTGCGGGACGCCTTCAACAGCCCTTCACAGCGCACGTGGCCTTGGCGCCGTCCTGAACTACAAATGGAATTCCACAAGCCCCCAAACCAATCCAAACCACCTGCTGAGGTACCTGAAAGCAAGGAAAACCAAAGAAAAAGAAAGAACAAACCCCCCAAACCCCCTCCAACCCCCCCCCCCCACCGCCCATCCTCCCTCCAAACCCCCCCAAAAAGACGGAAAACGCCACTGAGTCGCCACCAGCGCGGGAATCTCCGAGAGGGGGGTCTCCCTGATCGCATCCGGCAGCGAGCTGAAGCCTCGACGTCGGCGATTTTTTTTTCGGACAGACGGGTTGTCTACGGCTCGAACTTCCACGACTTTCGGGCATTAGGTCTACGGGGAACCCTGGATGAACAACCCCCTGGTCGATTTCCACGGTTCTAGGGGTTGATTCTAGGCTCGGTGTGATGAAGTATCCGGGAAAATGGACCCATGTTGGTGATAGGTTTGGTGGATGCCGGACATATTGAAAGCAAGCCAACTATTCTAGGGGTTGGTTCCATTTCCATTATTTTCAGCCATGGTTCTTTTGAAAACCGGATCCATTTCCCCAGGGTTTTGGTTGGTATTCTAGAAAGAAGGATCCCTGAAAGGAATGGGCAAGCTACCCCTAGAGTTTCAGTCACACCTTCCAGAACTGCTGCTCCGAGCCCGCCCCCCTCTTGGTTGCTGCTGATCCCTCCGCAAAAGTTAACTTTTGCCTTGATTTCCCCAAACAGTTAAAGTCGAAAGATCCAACCCAATAGCAGTCAAGCCCTCAAAACCTCAAAACCAAACCACCAAATGAGAGGCTAACAACCCGTACCCTTTTTTTCTCCCTTCCTGAGTGGATGGCCCAAATGAAGTCTGAACGTGTTGGAGTTGCTCCTGCCACTGACATGCCACTTTTGGGGAGGCATCTGGGGAACTAATTTCTTCTGGAAGCAGGGAACCCCCCTGTCAGGTGCCATGACAACCTGAGGACCTGAGGGGGGAGGGTAATGGGTGCCTGCGTGTTTTTTTCGAGGCTACCCCGAGAAAGGTGTGCCAGATGAAGCCAGGTGACTGGTGGATTTGATCGGATCGGACCGCTTGTGCTGCCATTTTGAGAAGCCTTCATGTTGGCTTCAATGAAACCAACATCAAGAGGTACAGTTGACCCAGGATTAATAGACCAGTCCCATTATTAGGGGGTGTTCCCTCCAACAGTGATGAATGCCCACTAAAAGGGGACACCCCCTATTAATCAACCAGGGGTTTATAAATTCGGGAGTGACATTAGTTGGTAGCCTGACGCCTGTTCTTAGCGCACAAGCAGGGTCCAGTGGTTCAGCGCGCCGAAAGGAAAGCCACCGGACAAGAGGCCCAGCATGGCAGCCGCCAGCAGGCACGGCACCAGGCACTTCACGGCCCAACCGCGCGAAGCCCACCACCTAGCAGATGACAAGCCCAGTTGACCCTCAGTTGGACGCTCAGGACGGAGTTGGGTATTTTCTTGTATGGTTTTGTTTGGCTTGTGCTTGGTGTTCTCGCGTTTGTGTGCTGATTTTGCAAAATCTTGAACTAAAAGGTGATCACCTTTTGGGGAGGGGGGTATGCGAGGGGGGTATGGGAGGCGGGTATGGAAGGGGGGTATGGGAGGGGAGTATGAGGGGCGGGGGGGGGGGGTGGGGGGTTTGGGGGGGGTGGGGGGTTTGGGGGGGGTGGGGGGTTTGGGGGGGGTGGGGGGGGGGTGGGGGCGGTGTGGGGCTAGGGGACATGACGAAAAATGGCAGTGGCTCAAAAAGATGTACCCAAAATGGCTCCTAGGCAAATGGAAACAAAGACTCAAACCTGCGTAACCCCAGCTCCTTAATTTTGAGCACACAAAAGTGGGGAACCCAAAAAGAGGAAGCCAGTTGTCAGACCCGCTCGGCTCGCTTGCACGTGAGCAAGATGGCCTCCTGCCCAGAACGCTTCTCAGAGCCCTTGGGTAGAGGTGGGATTCGAAGACCAAGTCTGCCAACGGGCGATGTTGACACCATCCCGCAAAGGGGGCCATACTTGGGTGTTCCCGTTAATTGCTTGGCAAGTAGGTTCTAGCCACGCTTATAAAGGCAAAACCCTCAGTTCCCCCAGCAACCATGGCTCTAACCTTACCCGACGATAGTTGAACATCCACATGCCCAACGAGATTATTTTGGCCCTCAAGACGTCCTGGCATGTCTTAGTGGCTTCCCCCGCGCGAGAAAGAGCGGTGGGCGGGAAGCCTTTGGGCGGGCATCTGGACCAAGGTCGCCACCAAGTAGGACACCGAGAAGTTGAACACCTGAGAAAAAAAAACGCCCACATGTTTGGGGAGCCTGTGGATGGACGAAATCCAGCTGGGCACCTGAGAAACCCTGGTGTCGGATGATTCGCTGGTAAATACCAACAAACAATGGTTTCCGATGGCTTCACGTGGTGCCGGATTGTATCCACAGCATCTTGGTTGGTTTCAAAGGGAATCCAAAGGATAACCGGCTGCTTTGGGGTGCCTCTTTGTTGGATCTGCTTTTGTTTAGGGGCCCCCTCAATTTGACACATAAACCCAACTGACTCAGGCGATTCAGTTCGACCCCTGACTTGTTAAAAAGGGCCTGACCAAATGGCAAAGTGAAATAACTTACCCAAAAAGGCCTCTGGACATGTCTTTTGACTTTTTGCGAAGACCTTTGGGTGGTCAGCATGGTTTGGGCCAATCCACTCCGAACCTTCCACATGGTTCCCTCTGTTTCCCCTTCAAGGGTGGTTGGGCCGAATTTCCAGCGAGTGTCCTTTTGGCCCTGGGAAAGAAGGAATGTCAAAGGAAAACGCCTGGCGGCCTGGCCAAGCGCCGCACCAAAGCAAGTCCATGCGAAACACAGATCATCATTTCTTGAAGAGGGCATCCATGCGTGAAGATCAAACCCGTGTGAGCTGGCATCGAGGTATCGGCGTGGCATGCTAAACGCAAATTATATAATATATGAGCTACAAACTAGACGATTCTAAATTGGGCTGTAGGCACTTTGGAACCCAAATGTGCATCCCTCAAATGATGAAAACACAACAACAGAAAACGATCAACTGGCTTGTGCTTAAACACTTCTATTTGCTCCTTTGCTGGTTGGTGGGTCCGTTTCCTGCTTGTTTGCTCGTCCTACCCCATCAGAGATCTTGCTTGGTTGGTGGCTGGGTTCGTGGGCACGGTTGCCATTGTGCGACTTCCAACTTGCAACCGTCACCCGGAATGTCTGAATTTATCTTAAGGGGTTCATGGCCATCCCCACCAACCTCTTCTGAAGTTAGTTGTTTTGGCAATGCCACCCTTGGAAATCAACGGTAAAAAGCGCGCAAAGTGCAAAGTTGTTTGAACAAACAAAACAACAACGACAAAGCGACAAACCTGGGAAAGCATTTTTCGTAGGTATTTACAGGGGAATCAGAATCCAGGGTTCCAATTCGGTGGTGCCTTGGATGGATTTCGTCCACATGAACTCCCACGAAAAGCTTTGCTCCCCCATTGATCAACGTGGGGGGCTGCCGGGCTTCCAGTGCTTAGATGTTCAAAGGGTGCTGTCACTGGCGGCGTCCCAAGAAAAAAACACGAAGAAGTTCATCTGGGGATCCCATGGCCAGAACGGGGGATGCCGGGATGCCCATATTGGAAGAAAAGGGAACAAGGAAACCTTCTGGCTTGCCCTGAACGACCATGACGTTCTGGGGTTTATGGCTGGTTTACAGTAACAATGTTTGGCATCCACCGTACTTATCAACCAGGGGTGTATCAATCCACAGTGCTCAATAATGTTGACCCCGGATAAATCAACCCCAGTTTGTTAGTAGGGGGGTGGGGGCCCCTCCAACAGTCATGCTTCTCGACTAAACCCAAAATCGGACACCCCCCTACGAGTAAACTGGGGCTGATTGATGTGGGGACATTAACTAGCTCAAATGCATCCTTGCGGCACCCAAGGATGTTCTACTTTGGCTCAAGAAAACTTCATACGGCTATGGGTCAAGATGAAACCACCAGAAAACCGCAGGTTTAACTTTTCCATTTACCAGGGCAAGCCATTTTGGGGTTACCCTATTTTTGACTCTTCCACAGCCCTATGGGACCATAGTGGACGAATCTGGGGCCCACATAACTCCGGCCAACCGCGCCAACCGCGCCAGCCGCCAGCCGCCGGGGCGCAAGGAACCAGCCGAGGCCGAAGCGCTCCGGGCCAAATGGCCAGACCTGGAAGCACAGGCCCTGGCACAGGTAGAGGGCGTAGGCGTAGGGCTCCTCGCGAACGCTAGCTCTGTGTGTATGCGTAAATACCTTGGCACGTACATGCATTACATTACAATACATTACATTACGTTACGTTACATTACATTACACTGCATAACATAACATTGCGTTACGTTTCATTACATAACATAACATTACATTACGTTACATACAGTACATACATTGCATGCATTACATACATGACATACATGACATACATTACATACATGACATACATTACACGACATTGCATTACGTTGCGTTAATATATGCACTTCAGTGTGTCTTCTCTGGTTGGTTAGTCAGTTGTCTAGTTGGCTACCTTTGGCTGGTTGTTTGTTGGTTGTCTGGCTGGTTGCTGGCTGGTGAAAGGTTGGCGGGTGAAACCGCAATTCTAGACCCTTGACCTGTCCCCACCGTTGTACCATGGTGTCAGGGTGGTTTGGACGATGCTGGACAGAGTTTCTGGCGGCTTCCATGGCAACGTGGAGGGTAAAACAAAATTGCCTCAGGCAGGCAAGTGCCATGGCAATGACAAGAGGTAGGTTTTGACGAAACCAAAGGGACAATTTGTGGAACAAGGATCTGCTTTTGCCCCTCTCAAACAGCCTGCCATGGGCTTCACAGAGGGAAGCTCATGGCACCTGGGTGTTTCTTAGCTAAACTTGTGGCACCATCCCCACCCCCTTAAACATGGAATGGCGTGACCCGTGGGATTTCATGTGCGCCTTTTAGGGGACCTTCGACCCCCCTAGAGGCCTTTTGGCTGGTTGTGCCAAATCACCTTCTGGCTGCCAATTCAATGTGAGGAATGAACAGAAATACATCACACATCTTAGAAAGAAATGGCCCGCTGAGCCCCCACAACAAACCAGCAACATAGCAACAAACCGGCAAGCATCGCTGTTGAATTCTCACATGTATCCCGCCCCTTCCCCCCGAACCCCCCCCCCCAAGCGACCCCCAACAAGCGACCCCCAAGCGAGCCCCCAAGCGACCCGCAAGCGACTCCCAAGCGACTCCCTCGACCCCAACTCACTCCCTCGACCCCCCAACTGACTCCCTCGACCGCCCTACCGCGACCCCCAAGCGGCTCCAGGAAGTCGAGCCGGGAGCAGGCGAAGGCGAAGAAGGGCAAAGGCAGCGAGGGGACCCCCGCGAGGCCCAGCACCACCATGGCCTTCCGGGCGCTTCGGATCGCTCGACGGACGCGCGCGGAAGCTTCCGAATCGGAAGCCGCGCGCGTGCGGATGGGAAGCTGAAGTGGAAGCGACCACAAACCAAAGCCTGGGGTGCTTCAAGCCCGGAGTAGGGCGTGATTGACCTTTTGCAGGGTTAAGAGCGTGGCCATTGGTTTGCCAGAAGGTCTAAGGGCCGTGTTGTTGTTGGGGGTGCCCTTTTCACCTTGTCTGAAAAAGGTCTTCTTCTTCCTCTTCCTCGTCCTCCTCCTCCTCTTCTTCTTCTTCTTCTCATAGGTGTCCTTTTCGGGGAAGACGGCCCTAGTAGATGATTAAACCACCAGGTAAACCAGGAATCGCCCTCTATTGTTCAACCAAACCAACCAAAAAGGACACCTATGGTTCTGAGCATAGGTGTCCAGGTGTCCTTTTGGACAAATAGATGGCCCTAACTGGGACAAAACCCTACGCTTCTTCCTCTCCTTGCCTGGAAGGGCAGCACGCAGCTCGGGGCCAAGAGCTCATAGCTTCCGGGCGCCTGAGTCTCTGAGTCCGAGCGAATGCCTCCCGGCGGCCGCCGTGGCTCGTTTCCCCGTCCAAATGGGCCCTTCGAAGGAAAAAGCAATGCCTGGGGTGCCTCAACCCAGAATAAGTAAGATTGACTTTTTGCGGGGTGAATGGGGTAGCCATGAGTTTGCCAAATGGTCTGAGGGCCGTGTTGTTTTTGGCGGATGCCGGGATGTTCTTTTCACCTTGTCTGAAAAAGGGAAACCAATCTGAAACCAGATTTTAGGGGGTCGCCCTACTTTGACACATACCCAAATAAGGCCCCTGGTCCCTTCCAAAACGGGGTGGTTTAAGCAATGGTGACTTGAACGTGCTGAAACAAGGGGGCGCCAAGCTTGCTCCCCTTTGCCATGCAAAATGACCCGCTCCGATGCCAAAGGTGGCCTACTGTGGAACGAAATCCGTTCGCACCATCCAAGAAACCCTGGAATGATGATTCCCCTGTAAATACCAGCTAACACTGGTGCTGCATAAAGCCTATGTGACTCTGCGATTCCCGCTGTCCTTTGGTTCCCCTTTGCTCGGACCACATCTGACACAGAAATCATACGGGGGTTTATCAAAAGGTCCGTTTCGTGGGAAGATCATGTGGGGAAACCAAAAACATGACATGCCCCGCTGAATCGGAAAAGTTACCCATGGTGATTTGGGGGTCAGGAATATTGACCAACCCGTTGTATTCAGACTCTGTTCCATATTATTTAGCCTACCCTCTAGAACATAGTTTTGGGATCGGAGACCAAGCCATAAGGGAAACGGCCATGGCTTGGTCGAGTCAAAAGAGAGAATGCAAGCACTGGTGTGTCCTTGTTTAAGGAAACTGTTTCTTTGGGTTGGTTTCAAGTTCAAGGGAAACCCCACCCCAGATGCTTGATAAATAGTGGTGGGGGGGGGTTATCAATCAGCGGGCATTTTTATGGACACTGAAGGGGTCTATTTTGCACCCTCCTTCTTTTTTCGAGTTTGCAACATCCCACTCTGCCCCCCCTTTTCCACGGCCAGGTTTCCTGCAGCTCCTGGATGCAAAAGACCGCCATCAAGCCCAGGTACCCCGCCGGCGCCGCCAGCTGCCTGCAGCAACTTCCAGCAGCAATTGAGCGGTTCGCGTTTCGGGTGGCTCTCAGCCGCAAGAAGCGTCGAAGATGGAACTTTTGGGCCACCCTCAAAAGCAGCCTTCCTAGAGCTACCCTAAAGATTCCTGAAAAGGAACGATTTGGAGAAGCAAGGGGCCTTCACCGCTGGCGTTGTTTTTGTTAATGTTGTTTTTTCTGTTGGTTGACTTGTTTCACTGGGTCACTGCGCAACCAGGTTGCTAAGCTACCCTCACCAGTTTGAAAAGCGGACAATGTTACCAAAGGCGGCCAGCGTGCTGCTCTGTGTTTGACGTGTTGACGTGTTGACGTGTTGTAACCCTTCTGTGATACCAGCGGACCATCCCCAGAACCGGTTCATCACTCACTTTAGAAAGGGGATCTGCTTGATATCACACAAAAGTGGGCCGCAAACGCTACTTTCCACAACCATGCTCCCTTGAGGATCCTCATCAGACACCCCGTTTTGAGCATACCACCTTGTACCCAATTTTCCCATAACCTGACAATCTACCAACTATATACATGAGCCATGGTAAAAATACGGCAATTCCCAGAATGGACATGGACAAATTTGTGAGTCGCCCCCCTCAAAAAGTTGACGTCGCAAAACCCCTAGATTCATGCCCCCCTGTTCCTTAGGTTTGGCCAGCCCCCTCAAACTGGTTCAAGAGGAACTCCACCCAGTTTGGCTGTCTCCTCATCCTCCAATTCATTTCTTGGGGAACCGGAGCTCTGAATGTCAAGACTAGCGGCTGTCCTTTTGTTTTCGCTTTAAACCTTGCGAAGGGTACCAACTCAAAAAACGCACAGAGTCTTGTGGGTGTCTTGGGTTGGGCCTCTGAAATGGCTGTGGTTCTCCTCTGGGCTTGCCTCTTTTCTTTCTTGTTTAAAAAAAAAAAAATGACCAAGGGCTCTACCAACTCCAAAAAAAGAAAAGACGCCGCCGCTTCAGCTGCACCAAGCCAAGCCCAGCCCCCTTTCCAGGTCCCAGCGGCAGCGCCGCCCAGGGGCTGCGGAGGCCCATGCCGCCGGCGCCGCGGGCGAGGTGCTGGCGCAGGCGCGCCAGCAACATGCCCAGCACGAAGACCTCGCGGCGCAGGCTTGAAAAACCTTCGGCTCAAGAATAGGCGGAAGCTTGACACCTTTTTTTTGTGAGGCGGCAAGGGAAGCCAAAGGCCATTAACTTTTTTGGGGGGGTTCTCCCAACTGGTCGGTGGTTTCAAACTTTCCGGCCCATTGGTTTTGATCTGAGGTCCTGAGATGCAATTGCCGCGCTGCGGATTCTCAATAGGCTTCAGACCCCGAGGTTTCCTTTCGGCCTGAGTTTAAATACCAACCAAGAGAGCCAAAATGAGGAGCCCCCCCCCCCAGCCCCGTTCAGGAAACCTTCAACCTCCACTCTTGATTTGTGGATTGTTTGCCGGGATGGGAGAAAAACCCCCAGCCTGAAATCACTTGCCAGTGGTGGCTTCCCGACACGGCTTCAAACCCAAAAAAGGCTACCTGCAAAGCATACGAGGCACAATGGCGCAACAGTTTCACGCACGATTCTCTCATAATCATGACATATCATAACTTCATCTGGTGTTTAAAGTACCCCACAGCCCCATTCTGAATATTCAGACTAGAAGGGTCAGGACCCAAACCACCCCAACTCCCGCCTCTGGGGGAAACAAAGGGGTTAGCTTAGGGGTTTGGGACGCTATGATCAAGTTCCAAGCCTGTTCTTTGAGCCCCTTTGCGATCGACTACATAGAGCCCCACTGAATCTGCCACAAATCGAGCAGCAGGAGGCCATAGGCTTATGGATGTTGCGCTTGCTCGATCTTGGAAGGGTTGCGTCTTCACCTTGCCACGACCCTTGCTTGTGTTGCCTTCTTTGCTTGTGTTGCCTTCCATGCGTGCTGTGACCGTGGATTTGCATCGCCCACCATCACCCACCCTTAGCCCAGCTTCACCACGTAGATGGCCCCTGCCACCCACCGGGCCTCCAGCCCGAGGCATCCCCCACAACTAAAACCAAACGCGTCCCTCGGGGTCCCGAGGCGCATGGAGGTAGCAAGCCGGATGGTACTTCAGCATTACGGAGACCTGGCGCAGCGCACCAAACTCCCGAATAAAGCAAGTGACTCAGAGCTTGCCTGACTGCGGGGTAAACGACACGTTTCCCTTACAAACGGCCTTCTGGTGAGTTTTATCTTAGGCAAGGGGTAATTCTTGGGAACCTTTGAAAACATCGAATGTTGTGAGGGGAGCGCCATAACGTCCTATTATTGTGGGAAAGCTATTTCCTAATGCACATGGGCACTATTAGTCACTGGTCACTAGGAACAAAAGCGATCCCTTCGATTCGACCTTAAGAGCGGGGCCACCTCAGGTTGCAGTTCCCTTTTGCCAGGTACGAGGCCAAATTATCTCACGACGGCACGCTTGCAGAAGCTGGCACGAACCCTCCTGTCCAACATTGACATCCCATTTAAAAACGGGTCCAACAGTTGGGTTCTGAAAATCTGCTATCTGTGCTCCACCTTGCGAAAGTGTGCGCCTGCCACGAAATCTGCACTTGACCTTGCATGGCTGCAAAATGCTGCGCCTGCCACGAAATCTGCACCTCAGGTTGCCAAAGTGCTGCGCCTGCCACGCGCGGCCACGCGATTTGCACCTCCGAAACAGCCTGCGTGGCCGAGCCATTGGGGAACTTTCCGAGTGCGAGACGTGTCGACCCCGTGCGCAGAACAGGGCTACCCTTCGCGTGTTTCGCAGGGGGAGAACTCCACTTTTCGTATTACGGAAGCTTTCTAACTAAACTTCCTTTGATAATTGGCTTTTGGGTTGGCTGGTTTGGACGTTCAGGGGCCTTCCCTATTTTGTTTTAAAAGGAGGGGTTCCTGAGATGCTGAAGGGACACCTTCCGACTTGAGGGGGTCCAAGTCGGGTTCCACAGGAGTCTCGGGGACCGCGCTTCCTCTCTCATGGCAAGACAAGTTCTTGGGCGCCGCGATCAACAGAGCCAAACTTGTTGGTTCTCGGCCGGGAATGAGTTGGAACAACCTCAGAAAACCAAAAAAAATGGAAAAAAAAATCAGACACTGAAAAAGAACGCTATGGTTTCCTTGCAGGGAATCCCCAAACGGTTCATTCCTAAAACCCCGGATCATCCCCTGCGCACCAACACAGAGGAAACCGTCGCAAAGGCATGGCCAGGAAGCCTGGCATTTCTCCACCAGTAGACAAAAGTCTCGGCACCTCTTGCTGGTTGTTTCTTTACAGGGAACCCCCCCTCCAGACAATGTCAAGAAGAAATTGCCCCGCTTGAAAGGGGGAACGCAAACCTGTGCCCCAAAACCCCCAACCCAGTGTCGCGCCTCACTTGCCCCTGTAACCTGGAAACAATACAAAAAGAAAAAAACACCTTTGGGCCACTAAAAGTGCGTTTTTCTCCAAACCCGCAAAAAAACAATCCAACAGGTCATTCGCCCCCCCGGCCTCCCCAAGTTCCGGACTTTGGTGCCAATCCAAAGGCTCCATGAGCGCCAGGGGGATGAGGATGGTCAACCAGGGCAGGCAGAAGCAGAGACCCATCAGCAGACCTGGCGCCAAATGGATCCGGAAAGCGGATCGATCCAAGCAGCCGAAAGCCGGAAGCGCCCTTCGGGCGTGGTGGGGTGTTGGTGGCGGGGGTGAGTTCGGGAAAAGAAAGTAAACCCCAAAACTGGGCTTCCCTTAGTTGAGCCAAAGGTCGATGATCGACCCTTTGTAGGTTCAAAGCCATTCCAACCGAAAGGTCTAAGGGGCGAGTTCGGGAGGGAAAAAAAGGTACGTGAAATTGACTCCCCCTTTAAAACCAAAAGGGAGAATATCAAAGTATTATTTTCAGCAAATGGAAGTGATGGACCAGCCGTGAAAAGGCTCCAAGCCACAACAGGCAAGCCCAGACTTGGAAGATCCCAGATCCACCCCTCACTCCCACTGGGCGGTTGTCAAAAGTAGGGTAACCCCAAAATGGGTTGTCCAATCGGTACATGGAAACAATGACTAAAACCTGCGGTCCATATCCTAGCCATCAAATTGCGATTACCAACCGGCCCCGACTCAGTTTTCTGACTTTTGACCACCCTCAGGACAACCAATGAACAAGCCACTGGAAATGAAATTGCTTGGGCCATACAACGGACCTGGTCTAGCCCCCCAGAAAAAAAGAAAAAAAAAAAAGAAAAAAAACACGCCAAGCTGCAAAATTCACCAAGCCACCCAACACAAAAACAGAAGAAAAGGCATTAGCTAGGTCCTCCAGTAGAGAGGTCAGAATAAGGGAACCCTTTTTTCTGTAGTCTATTTTCGTAGGGGAACTCTCCCAACCCAAAAACCTCAAAGGGCACCAAGCTGGGGGACCTAGTTAGGCACTTCTCAGGCGCTCGAGCGAGCGAGAAAACGGGTGAGGCAAGGGGCTCGTGGCCAGCAAAGAGATGCTCCGGAACACGCAGGCCAGCGGCACGAAGAGGAACCAGAAGGCCAGCATGCAGCTGAGGAACCAGCAGTGCCTCAGTCGCAACGCTATCAGTCGCTTCTAGTGGGTTCAATGGAAACCCAATCACTAAACCCACTGAAAAGATCCAAAAACGCGAAGTTGGACCATATGGGAAATGGAAACCGCCACTAACATAGGCGTCTTTTTTAGGGAATGCCCCTGGTAGATGACTCTAAACCACCAGGAAACCAGGAATCGCCATCGATTTTTTTCGACCAAAGCAACCAAAAAGGACACCTATGGGCCTCAGTCGCAACGCCATAGCAAGTTCCTACTGGGCATGGGTGAAAACATGGTTGCTGCTTGCAGCCACCCACCAAACATGAGCAGAACCAATAGAATATAGAAACAACATGCTAAGAACACTGAAAACCATGGCGTTCCTTTTGGCTCTTGAGAAGGCATCCCCCCTGATTGTGTCTCCAAATGACCTGATTGGCCTTCGTGTGGCTTCCCTTTACAGATCAAAAAAGAACTCAGTTGCCAAAGAACCCAGAAATGACCGCGGTTGCTCTGGGGCGACCAAACATTGACCAAGGGGGAGCCAAAAGGTCAAAAGCTCGGTTTTTCGAGGGTCTTTTCAACCCATAGTACCATTGATTTGGAACCATGGCCATGTTGCAAACAACCCAGCACTCGAGGGGTTGATTCCTTTTCCATTCTTTTCAACCATCGTTCTTTTCAATCACCGGCTGTTTCCCCTGGGTTGTTGATGGTTTCCTGAAAAGATTCGGATCCCTGGAAAGAATGGAAATGGAAGGTAGCCCTGATTTTTTTGGGCACTTGAGCTTGAGACCAAACCAAAAGGGGGGTCCCCTCCAAAAAATACACAATCCCACCTCGGGCTGGCTATGTTGCAAACATGAAACCCGCAACCAAAAGCTGATGGCGTTAAAGCCATCAAAACAGAAAGATAGGGACCCCTTGTTGGTGACTTAGACACGTGATCGCCCCAGCAAAATGATCTTCCCAAGTGGGTCCACTCAGGTGACAGCCTCAGAATGATGCACCTCACCCCACCCAAATGGGCCAAACATGCGACCACTTTAAGGGACCAGTTGCCACACTTTGGGTTCAACGTGGCTTCCCAACTGCCAGGGTTTGGCAAAACAAAGAACGGACTCTTCTGCGAAGCCTTGGCAAAAATAAGTTGGCATAAGTTGGCCATCCTTGTTTTCCGGATTTCGGCTAGCATGGTTGTTTGTTGGAATTCCTTGCAGTCCGCCTGGGAGAAGGGTTTTGCTTCTCAGGCAGGCCGCATCTGGAGACACCTCTCGGTGAGGCTTGGAATCCAGGCTTGGACTAGGAAGCATTGCGCCACCAAGGTCTGCCAGTCCGATGCCGAGTTGAAGGTTGTGGCAATCCTGCCATCTGCGAGGCTCCCTGTCCAACCTAAAGACATGACCCCTTCCTTGTTCACTAGGCCCTCCAGTAGAGAGGTTAGAATAAGGGTACCCTTTTTTCTGTAGTCTATTCTAGTAGGGGAACCCTCCCCCCAAAAAAAAAGAAACAAACGGGCACTACTGGGGGACCTAGTATATGTCCAACCTTTAAAAAAAAACATGACCCCTTCCTTGCTCATGACTCCTGACTACAAATCACTCTTCATAGCTCCATGAAAGGTACCCGCAAAACCACGAACACATACTAGATTTCAGGGGTGTCTCCATACCTCCCCTCAAAACTTCACACCGATCCTAAGGGCAACTCACTTTGAATCTGCCGAAAAAAGTGCTGGTCAGAGCAATCCACAAAACGAGCACAAATCAAAGGTCCGCAAAGCTTGGAGCCAAACGGATCGGACCGGGGCCCTGGAAAACGTAGTTGTTGCATATGTTTGCCACCTTAAAAGGGAACATGAAGGAGGCGCACCAAAGTGGCCACCTTTTTGCCCGACTGGAGGAGACCAAAAGCTCAAAAAACTGATTTGGGCTGAGAATCAGGAACGAAGGAACCAGCAGGATGGCGTAGAGGGGGTAGATCCCCGTGCTCCGGCGCAGCACGTACCTGAACCGATCCGACGACCCTGCAACTAGACTGTTCTTGGTGAACGCGAAGATCTATGAAAACAAAAGAGGCAAAAGGTGGAACAGGCGATAAGCCCAAAAGGTGATGCTTCAAATCACCAAAAGCAGAAATATCGGGAGCCCCGGGATGAAGTCTGGCGATGGTGCTGCAGGATGTTCTCCTCCTTCGGATCCTTCAACTCGCTCGAGAAGAGCACAAATCCTGAGACAGAGACCCTGGCCTTTGCGACCCACGTTGGCTGAGCAGAAAGGAGTTCCGTTCCAAATAGAAGAGAGCACAAAAGCAGCAACCCAAAAAGGGGCGGAGAACAAAAACAAACAAAAAACTGGGCCCCCTCCCACGTGAATTTTGTCTTGCCGAGGCACCGGAGACCATAAAGAACCAGGGTGCCCAAGTGAAGCCCCAGCCGCAGAAGTAGGCGAACTGCTCCCCAAAGGCTGCAGTCACATCCCTGTCGTTCGAAGCCACGAGGTTGCCCAGCAACACGTGGGTTGCCTCGAGTCGAGGCCAGGGTTGCTAGGGTTGCTAGTTGAGGGGTTCCTATGGAGGTTCCAGTTTTTTTTATAATTTTTATGGAGCTATCTGCTCCTCCCTCCCCGAAGGAGCAAAAACTCGTGATCGTACGATCGGATTCATGGAAGAGCCATTTGTTTCAAGGTCGGTCACACCCGTTGGACCAGCCAGGTTTGGGGTAGACACCCCAAGAAAATCTCAGGAGAGGTCCTTGGGCGCTTGGGGTCATGTTGACCCCCGATGCATAAACCTGTCCTATTACTAGAGGGCGCTCCCTGCCAAAGTGGTCTAGGTCCCCACCAAAAAAACCAAAAAAAAAAAACACCCCATCCCTCAACACCCTTGACCTTGGGTTGGTGTCGGACACGAACGGAGGCCCAGCCCACCCGGGAAACGGAACCAGACATGGAACCAGAAATGGACAAGGGAAATGGACCCATAAATGGCCCATAACTCAGTTGGCCAGTTTGGACCCAGGACTAAAAGGTGATCACCTTTTGGCACCTCTACTGTGGGCCGAAATGGGAAAACCAAAAGGTTAAAAGGTCGATTCGCTTTGGACAACTGAGATAAATGGAACCAGAAAAAAATCCCAGGCGCCACCCGGTGACCTCCCCCCCCATTCTGCCATTCCCCCACTTCAATCTTCAGGGGGGGTGAAGCTCCGCGCATCCGGCAAGTCGCCGCCAGGACCCGCGCCAGGCCCAGCGCAAAGCGCTCCGGCGGCGCCATGTACGCGGGGCACTTGGCCAAGCTCGCCGTGGACCTGGCTCCGACCCATGGCGCGCGGGCGCGCCAGGTGAACACATGCCATGGGCTTATCAAAACCCAAATCGGTTAGCCCCCAGTGAGCATCCGATTTTCATCCAGCCACTAAAATAGGTTCTGAAATGGGTGAATTCAACTATCCCAAAATGGTACCATTGGTTTTGAACCATGGCCATGTTGCAAACAACCCAGCACTCGAGGGGTTGATTCCTTTTCCATTCTTTTCAAACAGCGTTCTTTCCGGAAAAAACCGGCTCCGTTTTTTCCTGATCACTGAGTTCAGAATGGACATGGAAGGTACCCGAATGAATCACTTGAGGATCTGGGGATAGGGGTTCACCTTTGGAACCGTCAGGGCTCCAAAGGAAAGCTTCCCCAGAAAAGACCTCACCAAAAAACACTCACCTTTCCTCGGTTGCTTTCTGCTCCCCTGCTAAAAGTTGAAAACTTTAAGTGGTTTAGTGGAAAACCCATGAGTTGGCAACAAGTTAAAGTTCTAACAGCCAAGCAAAATGCACCAAAGTGTCATGCTTGCCAAAAAGGTGATGCTGAAAACGCCCAGGGGGTAACATCGATCTGGACCCCCCAAAGCCTGACTAAAGGGGCGCAGAAGGCCATGCTCAAACTCACCAACAAGGTTAGTCTCAAAGTCGGGGGACGTTCAAGAGTCCCCGTTTAGACTGCCCAGGGGGGGGAACACGGGCTTTGGGGGAGCCTCTCAGCAATTTGCACAAGCTCAATGTTAACCCCGGATTAATAAAACCCCTGGTTGATTAATAGGGGGGTGTCCCCTTTTAGTGGGGATTCATCACTTTTGGAGGGAACACCCCCAAATAAAGGGACGGGTTTATTAATCCTGGGTCAACATTACCCTTTAAGCCTCCCCCTTTTTTCCGAAACAGACCGCGGCTCGGATCCACCCAGATCCGAGTCGAATTGGTTGCCTCTGACGGGACTGATTCTCCAAGCTCGTCGTCTTGGACGCCACCTTAGGGGCCAGCTGACTTCTCGCTCCAAAGCATCGCAGTCTGGCTCACTTCCCGTCGAGGTGGGGCAACAAAGTTGTTTCTCACTTGCTTAGTGGATGGCCCACAAACAGTTCAAACTTTATATTTAGCACTAAAATGGTCTTCCCAAAAAGGTTGAAAGTGTTTGGCCCAAACCCCCCAAGATTAGAGTCCATGAACTGAGGGAGTGAGATGGTAGAGATACCGGTCTGCGAGCATCTACCCAGAGAAAAAGAGGATTTTCGTGTTGGTTTTCCAAGTTTCTGTGCTACAAAGAGGATCTGCGTTTGAAGTGATAAAGGGGCATGGCACACATTGGCATCGCAAGGAAAAGTTGTCGGTTCCCAAAAAGTGCTCAGCTGTCCAGCCCTTGGCATGTGAGCAAACAACTTGCTTTTTGTAGCCGCCCGCATGGTGGATGTTGAGAGATAGGGGATGGGGTCGGATGGGGGTGTCCAGTTCTTTTTGGAGGGGGTTCAGACCACTTTGAGAGGGGGACTCCCCTATGCTTAGAGTTGTCATTTCATTGGCCGGGGAATCCACTTTGCACCAGCGAATGACAACCGCCACCAACACCTTTAGAAAACTCCGGGGCTCCCATGAGATTCTGGCCCTCTCAAAATGAGATTCCTCGGGGATTTTGCGAGGTTCCGTGCTCATCTGCAGTAAAAAATGCTGACCCCGGATTTCTGTAACTCAACCCATCCCACTCGGGGGGTGACACCCACGAAAGTGTTCCAGACTCCCCACGCAAAGGCCCAAACAAAGCTTCCCCCAATGAAAATCCAGCCTGGGTTTCATTAAATATTGGCCCCCTTCCAACTAACCACCAAGCACTCTTCAACGCCGGAAATCGCCGCGTTGAGACCAACGCGTTGAGGGCGAACCCTTCTTATGGAACCACAAAGCTAAGTAGTTGCGAGCCCCTGGCCCTCCAGGACGGCATCGTCCGTACAACTGACGGCCCCTTTCAGGCAAAAAAATTGGGGGCTCCCCCCGCAACGGGCTCCCGAGCCTTCGTTTCAATTCACTTCCGCACCACCTAAGAAACCCTGGTTCGGATGATTTTTCCCCCTGGTAAAATGCCCAGGGCTTGGCTTTTTGTTTGTAGGTTTAATGGAAACCCAAAAGGGTTTCCCACTTTTAGCCTTTGTTAAAATTGGAAAAAAGGAAAATAATTCAAACAGTTTAGCCTTTAAAATTGGAAGATGATGGCTTTTGAATCCAAAAAGTCTAAAGATCCAACCCAGCGGTAGAGAAAAGCCCCAAGCTATCGGCCCGAGCCGCGTTGAAGAACAAGTCCGTGAGCTCCGGGCACTGCGGCGTGGGCCGCGCCGCCGCCGGGAAGGCCGCGCGCAGCGCCTGGCCGCGGTTGGACCCGGTGGGACCCGGGTGGAAACCCCACGGAACCTCGGGAAAACCCGAGGAAAAAACGCGGGTTGAGGAAAAAAACGCGGGTTGAAGACACCAAGACTCAGGGGCTTTTTTTTCCCGGAGTTGGCCAGAGGAAAAGCCCAAAGAAAGGAGCTTAAGCCAGCTGAAAAGGGGAGGGGAAGGGAGCCCTTGAAGGGACCGGATGCTGCCCCGGATTGACAAAACCCTGGTGGATGTTCCCTTTTGTGGGTGGCACCCCCTCGTGGGATGAGTTGAGTAATCAGGGGTCAGTCACTGCATATTCGCATGGAACCTCAAAAAAGCCTTTTTAGGGGGAATCTCCTTTTGAGAGGACCTGAATTCTAGGCTGGAATTAGGACCCCAGCAAAACAAATATTTCTTGCTGGTTAGTGGCAAACAAAGGGGACCCCAAAAAAGCAAAAAAGCAAAAGGGGGAACTAATTCTAGGGAAGAATTATGAGAATCCCAAATCTTTGTAACGCCCCTAGTGGGTGCTCATCCCAGACCTTCTCATCTTCCATTTTCCATTGCTCGCAAGTCCCGTGATGCAAAACAAAAAAACTCCGGTATTGACTGGTTCCCTTTAAAACCATCAAACACGCCCCTGGAAAAAAAAAAAGAACCAGAAACTCAGACTTCCAGTCACTGATACCTTTAAGACTCACCAGGGAAAACACGAGCAAAGTCGTCAGCAAAAACGGGGCTGCGGAAATGACCGCCTCTACAACACAAATTGACTTCCACTGGAAGGCCTTAGGGGAAATAGATGGGTTTCCCTGGTAGAGGACTTTAAATGATTAGGTAAACCAGGAATCGCCATCGATTTTGTTCGACCAAAACCACCAAAAAGAACACCTATGAATTGGAGGGCTCGGCTGCCAGTCCCGGTCCTTTAAAGCCAACCATCGAAAACACCCCAAAAAACAGTTAAAGGTTAAAAAAAAAAAAGACGACTGAAACAATCCCTTGCAGACTCGAGGGCTCGGTTCTCCCAGTCCTGGTGCTGGTCCTTGGGGCTCTCACAGGGCGCCGTGGACCGCTCCAGGAACTCCACCTCCACCGGCGGCCCAAAGTCCAGCTCCGCCCGGGACTCCTCGCGTTACCGAGCGAGCGCCGGGCGAGGAGTAGGCGGCTCCACTTGGGACCGATGCGCCCAGGAATCAGAAACCCCCTTGCCACCGTTCAGAAACCGTTCAGAAACCCCCTTGGCACCGTTTGTTATGGATGGTTGCAAAACCCGTTCTTAGGCACCACCGAATCTCTTTGGCTACTATGAATGGTTGCAAAAATCCGTTCTTTCGGCACCACCGTTCAGAAGCCCTCGGCAAATACAAAACAAGGAGACACCCCATGGTTAGGAAAGTGGTGCCGGATTTCGCCCATCCACAGTATCTTGATGAAATGCCCCCGAACTTAGTTGAACCCCACCCCATTTGGTAGAACCGATTGGTTGGTATATTATATGGTTGGCGTGTACCGCATGTATGGGTTCAAGGGCAACATGTATGGGATTCTGGAAGAATCCCAAGTTTCATCTCATGAAATCTCAAAAACTCAATCATCTGAAACTCACTTCCTGAATTAAGTGGCCACTCAAAAAGAAAGGTGACCAAACGTTTTGTTCGCCACTAAAAAGGCAACCAAACCCAAAAGGTGACTAAAGTCCGAAACGGAACTGAGTGAGGAAACCAGACCTGCCGGTGATGTGAACCCCCAAACTAACACGGCGGGCCCCCTCAGGGGCCCCGAGTACCCAGTCCACCCGAGGCTCCTCGTGCCGGGGCTGCTCGATCTGCAGACTGATGACCTGGCGAGCTCGCTGGAGTTGCGAAAACGGTTTGGATGTGCGTTTTTTGGCGGATTTCTCACCTGTTCCAAGCCCTCTGCTGGTCATCTTTTAGCAATCTTTTAGTGCCCTTTAAACATATCCAACAGGTTGGTGGATCCACTGATTCGCCACCTCACCGTTTTCTAGCCGGTGAGGCCCGGAGGGGAACCGCCGGAAGCGAGCGGCCATTCGGAAAAGATCTCCTATGGTAATGTTGACCCCTTTTAATCAACCAACCAGTTCATTAATTGGGGGTGTCCGCTTCTGGATGAAATGTGGGGATTCAGACCACGGGCCCCCACCCCCCCCCCAAATTTCAGAAACCGAGGTTGATCAATAGGGGGTCAACATTACCAGCAAAAACAGGCACAACCCAAACACCTGCAACTGCGGCTGCGGACCCCATGTATCGCGGCTGAGAAAGATCGGCTTCAAAGAATCTTGTCAAGTGGCCGATCGGTTTCCATGTCAAACGCTGGGGTCGGAACTGAGCCTTAAAATGGAGCCATCACTGCCTGAAATTCCCAGCCCCGCCGAACGGAGGCACAAAGGGCTTCCCTGCACGCGTTTTTTTTTTTTGTTTTTCCCTCATGCAAAGCCGAATGGAAGCCCAGTGCTTGATTTCGATTGGCCCCAGCCAACTCTGGGGGGCAAAAGGCTGCAGAAGGGAACCCCCCCCCTCTTTGTGCAGAGTGCACGGAGGGTCCATTGAAGGACACACCGAAAAATCACCGCAATCCGTAGGTTTGGCAGGGAGACGGTTCCCCAAAATGGAAGTGCTGAGTACCACTAAAGATGGCCCAAACCCAAAAAAGTATCCAGCAACCATAAACTCACAAGCGAGTGCATCCGCAATCCGTAGCGGGACACCACGAGCAAACGGAAAACCACCATCTGGCATGACTTGGCCCAAACCTGCGGTGCGCCAAAACAACGCGCCAGGTCCTTGACCATCACAAGGGCTACCCAGAAACTGGAGGAGGCCTTAAGCACAAAATACTGGGAGGTGAATTCCAAGGGAAGTCCCTCAAAAGAACTGAAAAGCCCCTGCCTTAAGGGGAAGGGGGGGGGTCCCCAAGTCCATTTATTCAGTCTTCCCCATAAAAGGGAAAATGGGTCGCCACAAATGGAGATCTCCAGTCGAAATCCCCCCTCCCCCAATCAACCATTTTTGAGGGGCCCAAGGATGTTGCACCCACTGGATGTCAACAGGGCTCCCTGTATTTCCCCTTAAAACATCACCGACACTCACCTTTCATGGGCCAAAAAAAGGTGATGCTTAAACGGAAAGAAAAATAATAGAAGGAAAAAAACGAAGGAAATATAGGGACCCCTGGTCAAGGTCCCCTTCGCCTGCTCCGGCGAAGGCCATGGCCCGGACTCCCGCCACACCACCGTCCTGAGGCTTTTGCAGGCCGGCTCCAAAAGGACCGTGGCCGATGGGCGCGGTGGAGGGACGTTTGTTTTCTCCATTTCGCAGCTATGAAACCTCCACCCCAACAGGGCCATGGGTTTTTTCCCCCATTAGATCCTTGTTTCTGTTGTGTGTTGTTTCGTTGTTGCTTAGTATGCACACAACCAAACGACCTTCACGGTGCCCCACGGCTTGAAACCCGTGCTTGTTGGAGCAGGGGGGTATATCCAAGTGGACGCACTTGTATCCATTTCGCACTGAGGGACGATATCTATTTCGCGCCACCTGGTTGAAACCATGTTGTTGTTGGAGCATGGGAAAAGCTAAGCCTAGAGACCGAGCCCGCTCCGCTCAGAAGCTGAATGTCGGTAAGACCCCTTCTTGCCGTTTTGCTTGGCTGGACGTCAAAGGAGCTTGCCTGCTACGGGCGAGTTGCCCGAGAGGACGTGGAAGAACGAGATCCAGTCTGTGGGGACTGGTGAGGCGAACTACGAACAGAAACGAAAAACTGAAAACAAGCAACAAACTAAAAGCGATAAAACATGCTAAGCGTGTAGTGTCTTCTTTTTCCTCTTCTCAGGCATCTCCAAGGGGACTTCCGGCATTTCCGTGGGCACGTGGGTGTCCATCGGCAAATCCTCCTCCTTCGCCCCAGATCGCTCCTGAGGGAACCATTGAAGTACTGGGGGAATCATCTTCCCAAAAAAATTAGAGACTCAAAGTGAGTGGTTGAATGAGAAATTCCCCCAACCGCCTTTTTGGGCACAGCCCTGGCATTAGCCTAACCCTGGCGCAGCCTGGCCTGCACAGGGTAAAGGAGACACTAACGGACAAAGGTTTGGGATGGGTTCAGGGTTCAGGCCTGGCATCGTTTTAGCATCCTCAGCATCGTATTCAACATCCTCAGCATCACCAAGCCTTGGTTCAGGCTGGTTTGGGCTGGCTCCGGGTGGGTTCCAGGCCTATTGAAAGCAAATTTGGGGGTGGCTGTGCTTGAGGTAGATGGTTTAGTTCTGGTTACCGGTGGGCTTCGTGGAGTTGGTCTCGGGTGGGTTTAGGGCTGGTTTAGGAAGGAAGCGAACAAGGGTTGAAGGCGGGTCAACTCATTTCCTTCCAATCAAACAAGTAAGAATAAGGGAATTATCGAAATGGGTTCGTCGTGGGATACTTTGTAACAGCATCTAGTCATCTTTTTAGGGAAGATCTCTGGTCAATTGTGGTCATATGGTCAGTAGCAATCAGCTAGCAGAAGGATCCCCCCCAAATTGCGAATTTCCCGTCCATGTCTTGCGCTTTGTTCTTTGGTTGGTGTTAAACATCAGCTTTTTGTTGGTTCTCCTCTTGGCTAAATATGGAAAGGGTGTTTGTTTTGCCTAGCCCTGGCACAGGGCCAACCCTGGCACCTGGTTGGTTGGTTGGTTGATTCCCTACCGCAACCTGCGCGTTTCGAGGTCTATGCAGGCCAAATGGTGTGACAACGGCGAAAGTTGAAACAGCGCCAATTCCCTGAACCAGTGGTTAGAAGGGAAATATAGGGACTGCACAAAAAGGCTCCTCTTTTGGCAACTTGCTGGTTCCGTCCTCCGTCTTCCCAGAAAATTGGACCACAATTTGTTCAAAGATATATGCTTCTGAATTTACAAACCCCTTGTCAGAACTTCAACAAAATAGGACAGCTAGATCATCTGTCAAACAAGTATCAGCTTCCCTCTGATTGGTGGTTTGGATTGGTGGTTTGGTGGTTAAAGGAGGGGCTTCCCATTTACCCTCCTCAAGAACCAGGTTCGAATCCCAAACCACCAATCCAAACCAATTGGGGCTCACTGGAAACTATGCGTCCGCAACCCCCCCCCCCAAGAAAAAGAGCCTTTTGCGCGAGGAGACCCGTCCACAGGCGTCCTTTTAGGGGAAATAGATGGCCCTGCTAGATGATTAAAGGTAAACCAGGGCCGCCAAAACCACCAAAAAGGACACCTCTGGACCCGTCTTCAGCCGCAGCCGTCCTCCTTCTGCGCCTTCGTCTCTTCGGTGGCCTGCCGCTTCGCGCGCACGCAGGCGCCCAGGACCAGCGCCGACAGCAGCGCCGCAATCGCCAAGGGCGCGGCCTAGGCTTCGGCCGTTTTGGCCCGGTGGGAGGGGGAAACTCATCTCACTTGCTGAGTGGATGGCCCCTAAAAAGTCCAAACTTTATATTTACCACTAAAATGGTCTTCCCAAAAAGTTTAAAGTTCATGAACTCAGGAAGTGAGTAGATATTGAAGCTTCCCGAGTGCATCTCCCAGGTGCATTCAATTCCTAGGTGCACTTTCCAGGTGCACTTCCCAAGTGTATGTATTTCCCAGTTGGGTGCGCGTTTCCTTCCTTCAGCGTTCGCCACCCGAAGCGGGAACGGGTTGACTCCGGGGTCAGCCCAGGCGCCGCGCGGGGGCGGCACCACAGCCGGTGGCAGACCCACAGCTCCTCCGCCGGGGACGCCAGGCGCGACACGTTGAGCCGCTCGCCGCACACGGCGCCGGCGCCGAAGGCTGCGAAGGTTGCGCCGGAGGCGTCGAAGCTCGGCGGCACGGCCGCGCGCAGCGTGCAGGGCACCGCGTGCCTTGGGAAGTGCTTTGCGGTTTCTTGTGGGAAAACGGGCTGGGGGCCGGGAAAGGGGGAGGGAGCTTTTTGTTTGGTGGGTTCTTTGGGAGAGCTGTTGTGGGGTAAAGACGGTTGGAACGTTTGTTCGTGTTCGAAATAGATGTGGATAACTTGCCTTCAGCAAAAGCAGCTGGCATAGTCTTACACAAAGTGCTCTCGCTGGCAAATCAGCCATGATCAAAAAAGGATGGTGAGCTTCCCTCCAATTGGTGATTTCAAAGGTTAGGGGATGGTTTTCCCAATTTTGCCCCTACAAGAACCAGGGGTTCAATTCCCCAAACCAATCCAAACCGCCAATGTTGGGTAAGCTGAAATGCTGTGCGCTATCATTTGACCTCGCATCTCCCGGAATTGGTCAGCGAGGCAGAAAACGACAAGCATTCCGGCGACTTGATGGAAGGAACTTATGTTGTAAAAAAGGTACACTTGAAGTGGCTACAAGCGAGGCAAAGCAAGTAAGCAAGCAGGCAGGCAGGCAGGCAGGCAGGCAAGCAAAGAAAGAAAGAAAGAAGGAAAGAAAGAAAGAAAGAAAGAAAGAAAGAAAGAAAGAAAGAAAGAAAGACAAACAATACCAACCAACCAACCAACCAACCAACCAACCAACCAACCAAACAAACAACCAAACAACCAAACAACCAAACAACCAAACAACCAAACAACCAGACAACCAACCAACCAACCAACCAACCAACAAACCAACAAACCAACAAACCAGCAAACAAGCAAACAAGCAAACAAGCAAACAAGCAAACAAACAAACAAACAAACAAAGCAAGCAGGAAACGCATATAGCAGGCGTTTCACAAGGTTTCTGGAACCGCAACTTGTTAGGCGCGAGCCGGGGCACATGCACTCCCACATCTCGCATCGTGTGTGCAGGCAGGCGGGGTAGTAGCCGGGGCAGTTTTCCCACCGCGCCTGCATCCAAAAAACATATCGGGATGCCATGGAGCAAAGATATGGCTGTGGGTCAACAATGTGGGCCCAAAATGGAACCCTGGTAAATGGAAATAAGGACTAAAACCTCAAAAAGGTAACAAATGTTCGCTTTCAGTTTCACCAACCTCAAAAGGGTACCGAGCCTCAAAAGAAAACCCGGCCATCGCGCATGTGAGGTGCCTGCTCCGGCCTGAATCAGAAGTGCAACAACAGCAGCTCCCTTAAAGCAAATGAAAAACATCCGTCCGAATCTGCGATGGAGCAATCAGATGGTGGATGCTCCTAACCGCAAGCAAGCCAACCACACTTAACCACGCAACTACAAAAGGTCCTTCCAGAAAACATCTGGCCGCTACTTAGCTCCCTCTGTAGAAGCAAACTTGGATACAGCCAGCTCCTTGGTTCCCTTACAACCACCAGCAAATTTGAGTTCCTCCTTCCCTCACTTGCAATCTCCAGGGTATCCAGGGAGGGTTTTCTACAGGTTGGGTATCACTCGGGATGACGCCCTTCTCAAACTCGCATCTGAAATCGCCCGAAACGGCAAACTTGAAGTACCCTTGGCTTCTTCCATTTGCGAATACGTCTGGCAAACACAAAAATATGCCCTGTCGTGATTGATTCCATTTTGAACACCCGGGAAAATAACATACCCCCGGCATCCACGAACAGATCACAGAATCGTCTGCTTTCAGGCCCTTTTCCTCTCGCAACCCGTGTCCGTTCCATGTTTGTGGACCTGAGGATATCTTCTTCATGTTAACCCCGGATTAATAAACCCCTGGTTGATTGATAGGGGTGTGTCCCCTTTTAGTGGGGATTCAGACCACTTTTGGAGGGGACACCCCCCTAACAATTGGACGGGTTTATTAATCCTGGGTCAACATTAATGTTGCAAGAGGAAGTTGAGGGTTCCCTGAACTTCCCTCGTCTTCCCTCGGCTTCCCATATGCGGGCCCAGAAACCCCTCGCCCACGCTTTCACGCAAATTTCCCGCCTGGGCCGCCGAGCAACTTAGGCCCTCCCAGCGCGCGAAATGGGAGGCCCCGGCAATGCGAGAGTCGGGGAGGGGCTGGTAGAAGGGGCAGAGGGCGTTCAGCGTCACCTCGGTGCCATTGTTCTCAGCTTTGGTTTCGATCGGCGATTTCGAAGAAAACCCCCGGCGTTCTTTGGCTCCAAACGAAGACCCTCTGCAAGCGGCTAAGGAAGCAAGGGACGCCTCGAATTTACCCCAGCTGGTAAGGGAGCCGAGCATGGAGCCGAGCATGGAGCCGAGCATGGAGCTGCTAACCCGGCATCAGGCTTCTCAGGTTGCAAAGCTGCAATGGGAGGATTGGTTCCCAACAAAACCCTCCGGAACTTGCCAGGGGCTTCAAATCCAAGTTACCGACCCAAACCAACTAAAGGACACCTTGAGGTTGTTCTTTTCTTGGGGGAAACAGTGGAGAAAAAAAGAAAAAAGGAGAAAAAGTTAGGGAATTGCCACTGTTCGGGCTCGGGGCAGATTCTATAGGACACTGGCAACAGCTTTGAGCGAGCCTGCCTGCATTGGCCCAAACAACGGGAAAAGTGAGGCGTCCCCAATCCTGAAACGCCGGGAAAGGGGGACCAAACCTGTCGGCCAAGGGTCAATGTTCCGAATCAACAGGGGAAATGAGGCAAGCCGCCGCGGATTAATCAAGGGAGATACACCCCAAAACGTCCCGCCTGTTCATCAACCGGGGTGTCTTTCTGAAGGGGAACCCCCCAAAAACCGAGTTGCTCTTTTGGCTCCCTTTAAAACCCACAAAAATTGGGTACCCTCAAGAGACACACCCATACCCGCTCATCCGCCATACTCCGACAAAGAAAGGGTCTCGATTTGGGTGCCTGGCCCCCAAAGACCCAAAGGTAGACTAAAACTGGCTCCCCGTATCTTCCTGTTGACCCCGGATAAATAAAAGTCGCCCTATGAACGGGCGAAAACGTGGCCAAAAGTGGGCAATGAACGCTCCAAAAGGAGACACCCCCAGCCCGCAAAATCCACCGGGGGGTGCATTAATCCATATTGAAAAATAGATGGCCCTGGCAAATGGGAAAACGACCATCTAAACCAGTGGAACCAATCAAACTGTCTAGCCAAACTCTCCGAAAAAGACGGGCCCTTGCTCGAAGGCCCTTCGATGTAGAAACCCAGAGGCATGTGGGTGAAACCTCGGTTGCTTTGTGCTCCCCTGCTAAAAGTTGAAAACTTTTCGGGGTTTAGTTCGGAAAACCCATGAGTTGGCAAAAAGTCATCCAGTCCTAACAGCCCTTGGCAAAATGCACCAAAGTTTCATGCTTGCCAAAAAGGTGATGCTGAAAACCCCCACAGGGTAACATCGATCTGGACCCCCCAAAGCCTAACTAAAGGGGCGCAAAAGGCCATGCTCAAACTCACCAACAAGGTTGGTCTCAAAGTCGGGGGACCTTCAAGAGTGCCCAAAGTGGGAAGGCTTCGGTTTCCGCGAGCTGCCCTTCAAAACCAGCCCCAAAAAGGAGTAAAAAAAAAGGCCGCAGGGCCCCCTGGATTTTTTTTCCGGCTGGCCGGCCCGAAAACGAGGAACCTAGGCCCCCCCCAAAAAACAAAAACCGCCCCCGCGCCGAACCGAGGACGCGCGAAAGAACCCGCGCCCCTGGCCAGGGGGGTCTTTTTGCCACCTGTGAGAAAATGAGCGACCCCATCACCAAGGAATGCTTCACTGCAAGGGATCCTTACACCTGAACATTGCCTTGTAAATGGTGTTTTGGTGTTGAAAAAGCCGAACTATGTTTCAAATTGTTCCGCAAAATGGAAATGTCTTTTAAGGCTTCACTGCAAGGGGGCTCGATCCTTTTTCCACCCTTAAGTGAGGCAAAAAAAATCGACCCCCCCCGGCAGCCCTGGCAGCCCTGGCCGCGGCGCCGTCCACACCCAGAGGTTCAGCTGCTGGGACCCGTGGCCGTTGATCACCTCCTGGGATCAAGGATCGGTCGGCTCAGGTGGTTTTCGGGCGGTTGGTTTCAAACCAAAGGAGAAAAACTGCCCCATTTTTCTTTTGGCTTTTGGGGGGGGGGAGAGGGGGGTTGGGGGGTGGGGGGGGGGGGGTGCCTTTAGAGTTGGTATTCCTTCTTGTTGGTTTTAAATTGAAGCCAGCCATATTTCTAGCGCTACCTTCCCCATTCTTTCCAGATATCCTTCTTTCTAGAAAACCTCCGGAAACCCAGGGAAACGGATCCGGTCTTTGAAAAGAAGGGTGGTTGGAAAGAATGGAAAAGGGATCAACCCCTAGAAAGAAGTTACCACTTGCTTTGGGTGGGGGGGGGTGGGGGGGTGCTCTTTTTAGAGTTGGTATTCCTTCTTGTTGGTTTTCCGGTTTTTGAAAAGAACGGTGGTTGGAAAGAACAGAAAAGGAATCAGCCCTTAGAAGCCTCGAGGGGCCTACCAAACACCCCGCGAGTCCTCCGGCATGGACCGCCCCAGGCCATAGACATCGATGAGCCGCAGTCCCCCGGCGCGCGCCGCTGAAGCCTCCTCTGGCGGCCAAGACACATCCGAACCCCGGCCTCTGGCTGAGAGTGAGAACTCTTGGGCGAGGGACACCAAAACCCAGAAACAGATTGAAACAAAGGTGATAAATAATGATAATCATAGTAATAATAATAATAATAATAAAAAATAAAAAAAAACCTCCGCGCGTCATCAAAGCTGTCTAGGGGCTAAGGATCAAAAGATACGAAGCCGCGCTGTCTCGTCACGTTGGTTTTCGGCAGACCCGTCGCTGCCTGGACAACTTGGTTGACGTCGGGTTTGGGGAGCAAACATTCTCAAATTTTAGCAGTTAAGTGGAAGGGGATTTCAACCACTAAACCACAATAAGCAAAAATTGGCAAAATGTTTCCCAACAACAACCATGACAACCTTCCAGTGACGGTCTATTTGTGGAGACCCGTAACTATCTCCTCCATGTCTAGGCCCAACCCGTGGAAAAGGCACGGTGCTGGTTTGAGGGCGGTTGCGTTGCGTTGCATTTTAAGATTTTGTCCCTGCAGCCGTGGATAAACCAGGGTGACTGAGGCATGTGGCAGGGGGCGGTGCCAAAACCGTCAGTCAGTTCAGGGTCCGTTAGCTTTCTGGGAGGTGGTGACACTGGGTGATAAATTTGCAATTTGCAAATGCACAGCTGCCCATTCCCTTTTGACGTCCTTTTAAGAACATCAAAAGTTATGTTCTTTTTGGTGGCCTCTCTCGCTCTCTCTCTCTCTCTCTCTCTCTCTGCCGTTGCATCCAAAAGGTGCCACTTCCTCTGAGGCAAGCAAGCGATTACCATGTTGACAGCGGCCAAGAAGAAGCAGGGAGCACTATCCAGCCTCTTCGCCAGATTCAGGCTGTTTGTTTTAGCACCCAGTAAGCAGAGGCCAAAACTGACCCCCAAACGACTGCCCCCAGCATAAGTTCCCCCATTCTGCCCTTCTGCCCTGGGAAGCAGGTAGTGGAAACCTCGTCAGAAGGAAGAGATTCCTCAACGGAATCAGAACCATCCAGACCCTTCCAACAATGACAGGCTGCATGAGGCAACTCAAAAGACTAGAGTTCTCTTGAGAAGTTGCCACTTCGAAAAAGGCTTTATCCAAAACCTTGGGTGCAACCCAAGCCAGAAGCAAGCAAGCGATGCGATCAATCACTGACCAAACAAAGTCTTGCGCGAAAATGTAAATTCGGGAAACTTGCTGCTGCTGCTGCTGCTGCTGCTACTACTACTACTACTACTACTACTACTACTGCTGCTACTACTACTACTACTACTGCTGCTGCTGCTGCTGCTGCTGCTGCTACTACTACTACTACTACTACTTCTACTTCTACTTCTACTTCTACTTTTACTTCTACTACCACCACACAGCTTGGAAGGAGCCGTTGTGGAGCTGGGGGTATCAACCAGGTGACCAGAAGCTCTGGAAGGACATGGTAGGTTACCAGAATCACACCTCAAAGAGGCTGAAGAAAAACCACGCTCGTCCCCAGACACCAAAGGTGACACCAGAAACCGAGTCCGAGCCAGGTGTTCCCGCTCCCCAACTCCTGGATGTGCGCATTCATCCTCTGGAAGTTGGCCTCCAAGCTTTGGCCCGAGGCGGCCGTCCAGTTACCCGTGGCGATTTGTTAAGCGGTTCCCTGTCTACCAGGGCTCCCTATATTTCCCCTTAAAACATCCCCCCACCAACTTTCATGGACCAAAAAGGTGATGTTTGAAACCGCCAAAAAAGGATATATATATATATATATATGGGCCCCTGTCTACTGGCAGGGGGAAGAGTCCATCCATGTCGGCGGTCCAGGGCTGCGAAGGATGCCTCTCACACACAAAAAACTGGATGGCAAGAGCGACCCAAGGTGAAATTCTCAAGGACACTAGGGGAGCTGGATACAACTGGTTGCAACATCCAGGGTTCCATTGGTTCACCTCGCTTTCCTTACCACCCCCTTCCCCACAGGTTTGGCCCATGTTTTGAAGAACAAAGGATCCCTGAAGGGAAACAGGAGGTTCCACTTTTTGAACCCCCAGGGAAGAGGGCCATTGATGTTTTTGTGAAAAAGTCCACTTCCCACAGGGGACTAGAACCGCGCCCACCCCCAATACACCTTGAGCGTCTAAAAAAAAGCTGGCTCCACATCCTGGTCACCCGCAAAACGGAAAAACGCGCTACGAAAACCAGCCATACTGTGGATGGACAAAAGAAACCATGAGAAACCATGGCTGCAGTATTTGCAGGGGAATCCACATTCCCGGGTTTCTTCGGTGCAGGATTCGTCCATCCACAGTACGGCAAGACCTCCGAAACGAAAAAAAACGTCGTCGATTCGCCTGGTCCCGGTGCAGATTGGTCCAGGAGAGCGTCTGCACGAAGCAGCGCCTGGACTCGCAGAAGGGCTCGAGCGCCCTAAAGGCTTGGCTCATCTCCTGAAAGCCGCACGAGCCGCGGTGCCGGTTTTGGTTTTCTTTGGGGGGGGGTTGGTTGGGGGGGTTTGGGGGGGTTGGGGGGGGGTTTGGGTGGGGGGGGGAGGGAGGTTCTTAAGGGGGGGGGGAGGGAGGTTCTTGTGTTTGTCTTTGGCGTTGTCTTCCTCCTTTATTTTTTGGGGGGGAGGGAGGGGGTGGGATTCTTCTTGACGGGAGCCGTTGACCGGCTCTAACAAAGGAATTGGTTCAAATTGCGAAGGACAATCAGGTGTGCAGGAACCAACTTATGAGGGCTTCTAGAAGTTTTCTGGGGGGTTCGTAGGGGTTTGCTGGTTTCTGTTTTTTTTGGAGAAGCTGTCCCCCGTACGAGTTCGCACTGCCTGTTTTGATGTCAAGACAGGTGGGCTCCTGTTTTGTGGTTTGCCTTTTGGTTGCCCCTAAGCGCCAACCCCCAAAAAGGGTACCTTCCAAAACAAACACGAGAAGCACCGACCATTCCACGGGCCGACTGGGATCGCTCCCGCTCGAAGACCTGCACGGTGTCCAGTCCCAGCAACTCTTGGCGGGGGCACTCGGTAGACACCGCGCACACGCTGTACCAGCTCCCCACCTGAGACACGAGAGCTTTCGCTTGCAGCGAAAGCCGCTCGCTGCCGAAGAAAACGCGTCGGGCAGATTTGTCCAATCGGGAGGGCGTTCGCCTAAACAAAGGCCCCGAAAGATCCAGGTGAGTCCTGACTGATCCGGTTGTCCAAACGTCCGGAAGCAAAAGCACGTTTCAACTCGAGAAGTTGAGGCCCCTCCCCAACCAAACCCACCCAGCCCACCGGTGGAATGGCTCGGGTCCTGGAATCCGAAACGCGCTCGGATCCGCGAAAAGCTTCGCAAGGAGCTGCAGGCCAAAGCTACGCTAATCACGTTGCACTGCTTGCCAAGCACTGCGAGGATATCTGTGACATTAAAGCTTGTCTGTCCTATGGACTTAACAGGCAACGCACAATCGCCCAAGGCGCCTGACCATGTTCCTTGGACTGGACTCCTCAAAACACCCGACATATGGGTTTCTCTCAAAATAGGAGCGCCACAAAATGAGCGCGGTTTCCCTGATTCTCTTTGAACAAAAAGGTCTCGACACGACAACGCCCATGGGAACCCCGGAATGAACCTGTGTTTTTCTTGGGGGTGTCAGCGATCCGGATTCACCAGCAAAAGGGGGCAACCCCTATTCACTATATATATATATATATATTATATTACATGTTTGTCTGTAAAGAAGTTTTTGAGAGGACCCCTCAGTTGCCCAAAACCCAGACATACAAGGTCCACCTCTTGAACCAAAAAGGGGAAGCAAAAGGTTTCTGATCTGGTCATTCGCTTTGGACAAGTGAGGTTTAGATAGCCCCAGATGTGGGCAATGGTTGGAGTCCTTTGGGCGTCCCTTCAAACCCAGACAAAAAGGCACCAACTCAAACCAAAAACTTCCATTTGATCAAGGCCCCAGGAAAGAATGAACATATTTCCAGTAGTGATGAATTCCATTTAGACCCAACAAGGGGAAAAAAAAAAAAAAACACATGATCATCTCAGGGGGAGAAAAAGAAAAGACGAGCCACCCATCCTCAAAAAAAGTTCGACTCCCGAAGCCCGAAGCCGCCTGCACGATCAGAGCCACCTGCGCCTCAACGCCCCAGCCCAAGTCCTCACGCAGAACCTCCAACGCCAGTTCCTAGCGCGGGCGAAAGACGCCAAGCCCAGGCCAAGCCCAAAACGGGTGTCTTCTAGGTCCTCCAGATTTGAGAGGTTAGAATAAGTTGGTACCAACTTTTTTCGGTTTTGTCTACTTTAGTAGGGGAACATAGGGGAACCCTCCCCCAGAAAAGGGTAAAAGGGCACTACTGGGGACCTAGTCTTGTCTTTTGGGAATCGGACCCGGGACCCACAAAATGGGTGGGGGCTGGAAATGGGTGTCCCTCTTGGGCAGGAAACCACAGTCCCCCGATGGGCTTGGGGCGCTTTTGCCTAATAAAGACCGGAACAACCGCTTCTTTGTGCCACAGCTTTGCCGTGGGGGTCGTGGAAACCGCCTTGGAGACTTGCCAGTACCGCCTTTCAGGGGCTCGGCCGGGATCTCGTCTAAGACATCTGCTCAAATGCTCCACTCGGGATGCCTGACCGGTTCGGGAAGGGACCGGGGAGCGAGAGGTGGGGAAAGGACACAACCACTTGCCATAGGAAGGCGAAGGAGATGCTAACTTTTCGAAACGGCGGCTGAGTTTGGTTGGGTGCTGCTTGTTGCTTCCCAACTTCTGGATACGTGTCAGGGCTAGAGGCCCAAGAATAGCTCAAGTTCGCCGGCTCCATTTTATCTCCCAAGTGGTGTCCATTGGACTGGCTGGGCCCATTGGACCGGCTGAAACCTAGCCGCGCATGGCGGCGCAACCGAAAGTTTTTTCTTGAGGACCTGAAAGTCCCACTTTCACCTTGGCTTGATCCAGGCTCAGTCGAAAAAGACAGGGACCCCAAGCAAGAAAAGGAGAAAGAGACGAACGGAGGCACCTGAAAAGGTGCCGCGCCCCCGCGCATTTCTCCGAAAGCGCCGCTTTTTTGGCGGCCCAGGGCCAAGGCGCCGTGCGGTACCAAAAGAGCGACACCAGGACGGTGACCCGCACTGCGGTGGAGGAATATGCCGGCGCCCGCAGGAGGAGCTCCTGCGAGGGTGGTTTCCATGTTTCGGACGGCGTGACCTGCCTGCGGGGGGGGGGAGGGGTCAACAAAAATCCCACCGATCCATCGAGGGATGTGGTCAAACCGGTGGATCCTTTTCTCGCCCCGACGGGAAAAGGACCCCGCCTGAGCGGGAAAAGGACCCGCCTGATTCAGAGGCCCGCGTGGCCGTTCGCCACGGCCGCGGTTGTCTGTAAATGGATGCCATGGTTGCAGCCCACGAAAAGTGAGCGGAACTCAAAATAACTAAAGATCCAAAAAACAAACTGCCAAGAACAGTGACGCTACAAGAAAGATGCCAACAAGAAAACCAGGCGTAGCCCGTGCGCCCTGCCTGTCTCGCTTATCGGATGGGACAACTGGAAGGTGTGAGAAGACTTTCTTCCCACGTCCTTTGGAAAGAATACCCCCTACACCCAACACCCACGTTTTTCAGGGTATGATGTCGACCCTCTACGAAGAAAGGTTTGGTATTTACCATGGAAAACCGATCGGTTTTCCATCAAAAATGCCAACTGAAAAAAGCGTTGGTACTTGGAGTAGGGGGTATATGATCATCGGAAACTAGACACAAACCAAACAGGGGCGAAGCCCGCAACTCAGCTTGCCGAACTATGGTTGTTTCTCAATTTCCCCCTTCTGGCCCAATGTTAGTGCCTGATTCCTCTTCTTCTTCTTGGAAGGCAAAAACTGGTGGGGAAAAACTGAGTCGCGCGTCGCGGTTTCCATGTTGGTAACTTTTTCTCAGGGGGAAGCACAAGGAAACCAACCACCTGGAGGACTCCTCAAATTTCGGAAACGCCTCTGAACCACAAATGGGGGGGGGGGGGGCTTGCCACAAGCATAGTGAAACCACGATTATTCTGATTTGAGCGTGGTTGGTTAGGGAACCCCCCGTTGATTATATAGTTTCAAAGGGGGTCGAAAGCGAGAACCATCGTTTTCGTCGCGCCAGGGGAGGGGACAGGTGCGGGCGGATTCGAAGCAACGAAGGCGAGTGAGGTCCTGGGTGGCCAGCTTGCAGGCCTTCCAGTTCTCTCGCGCCAGGTGCAGGTTCTGCTGCCAGCACGCAGGCACCTGAGTCACAATCAACACCGGGTATAACATCGTTGACCCAGAAGCATGTAAGGAAATACGAAGGCGGCCGCAACTATTTATGGCTGGGTCCCTTACTAACCTTCATCTACCCAGGTTTTGACTCACCTGGCGCCCGCTTAGAGCTTAGAGCGAGGGGAGGTGGGGGGGAGTTGGGGGGGAGGTGGGGGGGTGTGGAGGAGTTGCGGGGATGTGGGGGGGAGGTGGGGGAGGTTGGGGGGCGGAGGTTGGGGGGGGAGGTGGGGGGGAGGTGGGGGAGGTGGGGGGGGAGGGGGGAGCCTTGCCTGGCTGCTGAGGCTGGCCCAGTGCACCACACGCCCATTTTCCACCACCACGTCGGCCACCATGGAGCTCCCCACCCGCTCGTTCGAGCGCTCGATCTCGTACTCCTGTCTCGAAAACCACGGCTGGCGCAGCTTGCTTTCTTTGGCATCCGGGCAAATCCATTCTTGGGATCGCAGCTTACGAGCGGTCGCTCCGCGGAGCAAAACTCGCGCCGGCGCCTGGAAAAAACGGCCGGCGTTTCCTGTGGTTGATTTGCTTCTTGGGTTGATTTGGTTTGGTTTTCTGTGGTTTGATTTTTCTTGGGTTTCTTGGGCTTCTTTTGCTTCCTGTGGTTGATTTGGCTTGCCCTCGAAAACTCGCGCCTGGGGCGCCAGGAAGCTCAGCAGCCCCTGGAAGCCCAGCAGCGCGTTGGAGGACCCGGAGATCACCAGCCAGGTGCCCGCCAGGCAGCGCTGGGCATCCGCGCCCTCGAACCTGGGAGAAATCCGAGACACACAGCTCGAGATCAGAGTTTTCTTCTTGGGTTAAATGGAAACCCAATCACTAGACCGACTGAAAAGATCCAGAAAGCGAAGTTGGACCGGATGGTAAATGGAAACCGGCACCAACATAGGTGTACTTTTAGGGCAAATAGATGGGTTTCCCTGGTAGATGAGAAAAACCACCTGGTAAACCAGGAATCGAAACCCATCTATTTTTCCACCAAAACGGTCGAGATGCTTCCATTGGCTTATATAAGCCCCCGGCAAAAACACACATTTCCAAGAGTGATACTGTGGATGGTTGCGAAATCCTCTTAGGCACCACGAAAGAAACCCTAGAATGATGATTTTTCTGCATACCAACAAACAATGGCTTCCCATGGTTTCAAAGTGGCGCAGGATTTCGTCCATCGTTCCCTTTAAAACCAACCAGGCAAAAAAAATGTTTGAGACCCCTGGGAAAAAGTACAGAGTATTTCCGGTAGTGATAAATGCCTGTTACACCCAACAAGGGAAAATAAAAATAGAAATACTCTGTTCGGCAAATGGAAGGCAAGGGATCCCATTGGCCGATATGATATCTTGTATGGGATATACGAGGTATGGGTCACACAGTTGTATTCCCCCAATTTCTTCTCATGGTAGTGGTTTTGGTGGTAGTGGAGACGATCTTCGAATCGGATCGATTTGTTGACCGCATCTCTGTGAGGGCGAATGCAAATTCAACTCCTCCAGGTGTCCTCCAAGGGGCTGCGGGATGGAATCCGAGGCTTCGCGAAGGCAAACTGAGGGAAACCCAACCCCCTGAGGTTCAAGCAAACTCCTGCCATGGTTGCCCCCTGAACTCTTGAGCTTACACCACAATTCTTCAAACTCATGTCCTTTTGTTTCCCTTTGAGAGTTGTTGTTTTTTGCTGGGCCTGGATTTGTGTTTTGAACTAATGTCCTTTTGTTTCCCTTTGTTTCGGGTTGTTTCACAGGGCCTGGATGGGTTTTTGTCAACAAAAAAACACGGTTTCCCTTTGAGAGGGCCTTTTTTCGCTGGGCCCGGATGTGTGTTTTGAGGTCAAAAAAAACATGCCGGATGGGTTTTGTCAAAACAAAACGGTATGTCATCCCAGGCCCTGAGAAACCGCCGAGCCGCAGCTGGTACCGACACCCGGCGTCCAGCCGCAAGTTCCCCAGGGAGGCGTGGCCCGCCACAGGCAAATCGGGGTCCATCGGGTCGCAGAGCGGGCGGGCGTCCAACGGGATCTGCACCTAAGGCTATGTCGGGCCCCCAGCCCCTCTTGGGGTTCGTAATGTTTTTTGTTTTTTTTTTAAGCGTTCACCAGCACCACCAGCACCACCAGTGTGGTTATGTTCCCCGGTCACCAAACAAGTGATTACTACCCTGCTAGTATGTGTCCTGATCACCAGGTTTCAGCCATATCCTGGTTTCAGATTCGCCCATAAGCATCATCGGGAACCCCGGATTCCTAAACCCATCCTACTAGCCAGAAAAGTGATGCGGATTCCCCGCAAAAAGGGTAATTACACTCCCGCACGCCCGCTTTATCCAAACATTAACCCTTTGGTGGTGATTTGTGTTTCGGATTTGAACCTTTGCTTGTAGAGGATAAATGGGAAACCACCCCTAACCTCCAAACCACCAATTAAAGCGAAGCTGAGATGAGGAGAGAAAGCGACTCTGATACATACAGCCTGACAAGGCATCGCGCGCTCAAGGGGCCTAGAGGCGGGCTTGGGGTCGTGGCTTGGGTCTGGGCTTGGGGGGAGGCTTGGGGCGTGGGGTTGAATCTAATAAACACGGGTGAATTGTGTTTGTGCTGTTTCTTTCTTTTTTTTGGTGGGCGGTCATAGAAAATTGCCAGAGAGAACCCAGTCGTTGTCTAGTTCCATACTTCAAAATGAACCCCAATGCAGCTCCCACTGGCCTGGCCAAACAAAACGAGCCTCCCCACATTTCCCTTTGAGACAACCACCCCGGCAACAGGAACATCAGCCCAGCAGTTACACGGACATAGAGCTGGACCCCTGGTTCAAAACCGGAAGCGCGCGAAGCTCAGCTACCCCACTTGTACATGACCATGGTTCCAATCCAACTAAATTGGTTGATACGCCCAAGTAGGGGGGTCCACTCAAGTAAGCATTTCGAGAGGGTGGTTGGGGGGCGGGGAGGGGGGGGGGGTGCTCCAGTTCATCAACGTACACCTCGCTGTTGGAACATTCCGGGGGAGGTCCCCAGAGTCAAGGCATCCGCTTCACAGTCAAAGCCGGCCTGAATGCTCGCGAAGGCCACGGCGTAGCCTGCCAGGCGAGGTTTTAACGCTTCGTTCGCAAGGGGGCGTGGCACAAAGCAGTGGACGCTTCCCGCTTTGGTGTCAAGCTGTAAAAAACAGAGAGTAGTGGCATCCTGCCAACTTTTTCCATATAGCGCCTCTTTCCAACCCCAAAGGCAAGGAAGCTTCAAACACAAGCGCCCAAAAGAACTACCCTCCAAGGCGGCGTGTCGAAAACCGCCCGAAAAAGTCATTCGAGAACCCCTCTCAAAAACTGCAAAGCCAAAGGTCTTTGAGGCGAAACCTCCCCTGCTGGCTTGCTGGTTCCACAGGCGAGGAATGGGATGGAATGACGCCGACTTCCCCTACTAGCCCTCTTGCGGTTCATTCCTGGGACCCCCAAATCCATGTCTTATTATATTGTAAACCCGTCCAATTAGTAGGGGATCTCCTTGAAAAGAGTGATGCGTCCCTCTAAAAGTGGGCACCCCCCCATCAACATCAACCAGCATCAACCAGCGGTTGATTAAGCGAGCATGCACACACTGAAACCAACCATTGCGAAGGCCTGATTGGAAGAGGGCGCAGGGGTGGACCAACAAATCCTGCAACTGCTCGAATCCCAGTTGAGAAAGCCACCAGGAAGCCAGGGAGGCCGATAGGGGGCGTGGGGTACTTGAAAACCAAAGTGAATCAGTCTTGATTCGGTTAATGTACTTTATCGTAATTACTTTGGTTAGATGTGAACCAAGGTTTGCTTTCAATGGAAAAAGATGTCAGTCGCTTCTTCTTCTTTTTCGCCCTTGTTCACTCCGAGAAAAAAATTCCCGGAGGCTTCCCTTTTGCTCAGTCCGCTTCCGCCTGCCCCCATGGGGCTCAAGTCCTCTGCCAGAGCTGATGCCCCCTTGACCCCCACCAGCGCGTAGCCCGCGCGGAAGCCCAGGCCCTGCGAGCCGCGAGCGTCCAGTCCTTTTTGGAACATGGATGGGTGCCCCTGGTAGATGAAAAAGAAACCACCAGGTAAACCAGAAGAATCGCCCGGTATGTTTCAACCAAACCAACCAAAAAGGACACCTATAGATTAGGTAGAACCCCTGGTTGATTTTCATTGGGGGGTTCCTTTTGGTGGGAATCCAGATCACTTTTTGTGGGTGACACTCACTCTGTCAGGCTTGGAATGCTCACTTCATGAGTGATTTTCCGAGCCTTTGGTTTGCCAAAACTGTCCAAACCAAGAAAGTGACTAAAGTCCAGGAACTCGCTGGAAGTGAGTCCACTTCCCAGTGCTCCCGGAGGTTTCGATGCCATCCTTACCCGTGGAAATTTGGATTGGTTTCCCAACACTCCATCTTGAGCAGCCCGGGTTTTGCCTGCCTAAAGTGGTCGACATAGGTGTCCTCTTGGTAAAATAGATGGCTCTGGCACGTGGAGTAAAACCAATCCAGCTTTGGAGATTTGCACCTGCACCCATCCATTTCTACCTAAAGCTTGCTGGTTCTCAGCCGGGAATGAGAATTGGAATCACCCCTATCAACCCATAGGCCCCTGTAGACCCACCTCGCGGACCTCATGGTGGACACGCCCCCTCACCCAAGAACTCGCGGGCACGAGGCTTTCGCCCATCGCATCGGCCTCGATGAGCCGCGCGCCGAGCGTACGGAGGGCCGCCTTGGCGGAGGCCGTCAAGTTCAGCGAGGCCTCGAGGGACACCCCGCCCGGTGAGTAATTTTCAGGTGTCCTGGGAGGGTGTCTCTTTCGAAACCCCCCGAAAAAGGAAGGAAGAAGAGAAAAAGTGGCCTCAAGAACAAGGACGCGCCCAATGTGTTGGGTGAGTTCCCCAAACTAAAACTGAGGCCAAAACAAGAGTCGTTGCTTGGTCTCTTGGCTTTTGGGTTCCCAACGGCTAACCACCCCCAACAAGTTCATGGGACATACACAACCAGAAACTATGACAATTGGGGGTTTCCCATGTGAAAAATGCCCCGTAGAAGTATTGTGAAAAACGAAAAAGTTTGTTTGGAGGTACACCATGAACTTAGATGACCATTTCACCCTCTATCGGTCTGTCTTGTGATCGGATCCATTTCTTTTTGGACGCTTATAAACCAAACGGAAGCCCCCCATTTCGGGAGCGGAGTCTAAAAAAGTGGAACTGCCCGTTTTTGGGATACCATCCTTTTGGATTAAGCTTGCTAGCTCAAAAGATAACTGTGGACAGCAATCCCCACACCTTAAACTCCTTAAAACCAAATAAGGGGAAACCCACCACACCCAACGGTGAAAGTTGCCCCCTATCTCGCTGGCCGCTATCTTTCTCGCGGCTGCACTGGAGCTTCCAGCGGCGGGCTTGGACCCAAACACGGCCCCAAACGCGCAAACACCACGCGCTCCAGGTGTCCTTTAACTAGGACAGCCCGGGCAACTTCGAGGTGATTCATGTAACGGCCAACCAGGGGTTCTGGCATAGGTGTCCAATTTTAGGTTGGAAATAGATGTGGTTTCCCAGGTTAACTCGGAACCACCAGGTACACCAGGAATCGCCATCTGTTTTTTTTCGACCAAAGCAACCAAAAACGACACCTATGCTCGCTCCGGGAATGCTAAAAAATGATCGAACTTGGGATCGGTGCGTTCTGGCAGGGAGGAAGTGGTTGGGAAGATTGCGATTTTTGGTGGAGCGTTTTGCCTTGCCGGGGGGAGGTACGGAATGGCTGGGGGGTCTTGGGCGTGTGCCTTTTTTGAGGGCCCCCATTTCTTTTCAGGGTCAGGATGGGTTCAACAGGAAACCCCGGAGGAAACCGCGATTTGTGGAGTCCCCCGATTTTGTTGACATCATATACCCTCACGGCAAAAAAAAAGTGGTTGGAAGGTGAGGGAGGAAGAAAAAAAAGAAGAAAAACGGAGCTGCGTGCAATCCTGTTGGTCCCCAGTAAGAGTCTCGAGTCGAAATCCCCCCTCCCCCAATCAAGCATTTCAAGGGGACCCGGTGGAAGAACAAACAGGAGCTTCGCACCCACCCTTTACTTCCCCCCCCCACCCCACCCTCCCGCACCCTCCCACAAAAAACACACACACACACACACACACACACACACACACACACACACACGCGCCACCCATACGAACCCGCGCGCCCGGGAAACCGCCAAGGGCCGGGAGACTTGGAAACTCGGGCGGCGTCTTTCGACCGGAACGTGCCTCGTCGCTGGCGCCCACCAGCACCAGGGTGCCGTTGGCCAAACTGCCCACAAACGCGGCCAAGGCCTCCGTGCCACGCGGGCATGGGTCCAAATGAAACCACCAGACCGCAGGTTTTAGTCCTTGGCTCCATTTACCAGCGTTCCATTTTGGGTACCTATTTTTGACCCACAGCCACGTGGGGGAAAGTGGAGATGTCACCCCAAAATTCGAGGGGGAGCTTCCATTTCCAGTCTTTCCAGGGATCCGAATCTTTCTGGAAAACCTGGAAACCCTTTTTAAAGAACGATGGATTCCAACATGGGTGGGTTTTCCAAAATGGCATCCCTCAAAAAGCTCAAAACTGTATAAACTGGGTCTTTCCGCCAACCTTCATGGAGGGAAGGTTTGTGCATGTTCCCCCTTAGGTTCGCCTTTGCCTCGTTTCACCTATCTTAACCCTTTTTGTCCTTGGTCCTTCAAATTGCAGGTGTTCCCGTGGTCTTCCCAAGGCTCCCCGAGGACCTTGGATTGAATGATTGGGGCGCGCCTTTTTTCGGCGAAACAGCCACTTTTGGTTGGTTTCAAAGGAAGGCCAAAGGAAGACCCATCCCAGGGGAGTCGCCCACAAATGCGATCCGGACCCCCATCAAAACAACAGGGTGGCCCAAAAAACGGTTGCTTTAAAGGAAAGCCAAAAGGAAACCTGGTGCCACCTTAGGGCCCCCTTTCTCGCAAGACACGCCCTCTCTATGTCCAGCCGCCGCCCCATATCCAGCGAGTCCGCGGTCTCGCGAGACCGCGCCTCCGAGTCGGTTGCCATGGTGTCAAAGGTCTCCGCGTCCAGCCCTCGACTTGTTTCAACGAGTCGGTGCCCTAGTAACTAGGCTGGAATTAGGACCCCAGTAAAAATATCTTTTTTGCCTGGTTAGTGGAAAACAAAGGGACCCCCAAAAAAAAAGCAAAAAAAAAGCAAAAAGGGGGAGCTAATTCTGGGGAAGGCACTTACCCCGCAATTCCCCGAAAGGCGGGAGCCAGTCCGAGTCCGTCCGAGCCAAGGCGCTGGTGGCATCCGGCCGCAGGGTCACCAGCGTCAAGCCCCGCTGGGGCGCCCGGAAGATCTCCCGGCCATTCGCCACGAAGGTGGCCTCGTTGCCGTCCGAGAACCCGGCGCTGCGCACGCCCACCTCCGCCTGGGCCCCGGCGGCTTTTCGGGGAGCTCCGAGAACCATCGCCGGGGGCCGGGGGCCGGGGGTTCCATGATGAAAAACCCCCGGAAAAAACACCAGAAAGGAAGGCAAAAAAAAAAATACCCGGAGGAAGAAGCCAGAGGCGCACTTGCCAAAAAGTCAAGGGTGGTGTGTCTCCAAGGGCATCGGAGCCGCCAATGGCCGGTAGGTTCCATGCTGGGTTCCACATGCAGTTTCTCGGAGAAGAAAAGACAAACAAAAACAAGACACTCTCTGTTATCAGCTGGTGCGTTCTTTTCAAGAGTGAGAGTGAGAGTGATGATGGGAGATGTGATAGTATGTGATTTGAATTCTACCGCTCGTGCTGATGCGATGAAAAATTTACCGAAAACATCAGAAGCAAAGCGAGTTGATGAGGTTTTAGGTTTGGTAATTCCTTTAATAATAACGATGTTAGGTGTCTAACATATTCGCAGGTAACCGGTACCAACATAGCCGCAAGTGCAAATAGGAGCGTCACACCAAGTAATAAAAGAGGCATTGCAAAAGTTAAAGGCGCTAATGTATTTTATGATATGAATTTGAAATGCTTTAAAACTTGTAAAAACTGGATACCGAAATGGAAGTGGACAGAAGGAGCAAAAAATCATAGCAGGGGCCAAGTAAATAAGTCCCATGGCTAAGGCCCATAGCCCACCGAGCGCGACGGAGAAAAAAAACGCCGCGACCTCGCTGCAATCTCCGCAAAACTTCATAGATCACCCCTTCTGGCGATCCGCGGCAACCAACAGGTCCCAACTGTCAAACTGCGGGAAATGAGAAAGTGGACGAACTTTGACGGGTGAATCGAAACCTTCCGTTTGCTCCTTTGCGATCCCTTGCTTTGACGTATGATCCGTCCCGCATTTTCCAGCCAGTCGAGGGCCCCTTAGCTTGAACTTCGGGTTTGGAGTGCGCGGGATTCGGGTGTCTTGTTGGCTTCCCTTGAAGCCAAAGCTCTTGAGGCTCCAAAAAAAAGACACGGGCCATTTGGGCTGGCTGCTTTTTGGAGGGAACCCTTCTTGGGGTGGCTTTCAACCAACAGCAAACCCAAACGCCGTTTTGGGGGTCCGAATCCCATTTTGAGACCCTCCATTGCAGTCACAATCAAAGCCCGGTATTAGAATGGTCTACCCAGAGCCATGCAAAGAATTAAGAAGGCGGCCGCAGCTATTTATGGTTGGGATTGTCCCCCACTAACCTTCATCTACCCGGGTTTTGATTGTGGTTCATTTGGAGGAAGCCACTTGCAACTGGGCCGCCATGCCTTCCTCGGCCTCGCTACAGCAGGTCGACACATCTGCGCCCCGCAAAGTCGTTCCGTTGCCGCCGATTTGCACGAAGCCCGGGGGGCAAGTGAGCATCGTGCCTCGCTGGCCCTTTTCTTTGGCTCCATTTACCAAGGCCACACAGCAAATGGAAACCAGGCAAAAGGAAACCAGGAAGAACTGGCAAAGCAAAAGGTGCAAAGCCGATTTGCAGTGCTTCAGGCGAGGTACAGAAAGGCACTGTGGTCGTAGTTGGCAATGTGGAAGTCGTTGAGGTTGACGCGGTCTGGGAGAGGTAGATGGCATAGATGGCGGTGGCTACGGCAACGGGCCCACCATCCAGAAATGCCTTCCCGCGGGGTGGGCATCACACCTGTTGCTTAAACAAACTCTTGCTGCATTCCCCTTTGAAGAGGGCATGTGTCAAAATTCAACCACCAGGGGACCGCAGGTTTTCGCCCATTTTTCCATTTACCAGGGTTCCATTACGGTACCCATTTTTGCCTCACAGCCAAGCAAAAGGATGTTTGCCCCATATTGCCTGCTCCGCCAGTGCAGCGCCACCCTTGACACCAATCAATGCATACGATCCTCTGTAAGACAGACTCTCAATCAGTGTGGCGCCACAACTCCGGACGGCCGCCTGTGCAGCAGAGCTGATGTTGTTAGATGCATCATCCCGAGCACCTATCAAAACCACGGTGCCATCTTCCAAACCCTGCAAGAAGCTCACTAGGTCGTCTGAACCAGAAGCAAAGGTGTCAAAGTTCTGAAAAGCATCGAAAAGCCCAGCTGAGGTCAGCGTCACAACGTTCAACCCCCGACGATCAAGCACAGCGAGCTCGTTACCATCCAGCATGAAAATTGCCCTGTTGCCATTGCTCCTCCCGGTGCTTGTGACCGTGATGTTAAGGCCAACAGCCCCATACGGTGTGGTGCTGATGGTGCTGCTGGTGGCTGTGGTGATATCACTGAGGCGGAAAGTTGTGGTGCTTGCTGTGCTGGTTTCACTTCTGGAGCTGACATTGTTGCCGCCAACCGGAACTTCGTAGATTGCAGTGGCCATTGCAACGGGCCCACCATCCACAAAGGCCTGCTCCGCCAGTGCAGCGCCACCCTTGATACCAATCAATGCATATGATCCTCTGTAAGACAGACTCTCAATCAGTGTGGCGCCACAACTCCGGACGGCCGCCTGTGCAGCAGAGCTGATGTTGTTAGATGCATCATCCCGAGCACCTATCAAAACCACGGTGCCATCTTCCAAACCCTGCAAGAAGCTCACTAGGTCGTCTGAACCAGAAGCAAAGGTGTCAAAGTTCTGAAAAGTATCGAACAGTCCAGCTGAGGTCAGTGTCGCAACGTTCAACCCCCGACGATCAAGCACCGCCAGCTCACTTCCATCCAGCATGAAAATTGCCCTGTTGCCATTGCTCCTCCCGGTGCTTGTGACCGTGATGTTGAGGATCGTGTCTTGCGGTGTTGTGGTGGGAGCGCTGTTGTAGGCAACTGTGATGCTGGTTGTGACTGAGTGGTTGCTGGTGCTGGCTGCTATGGCTGCTAAATCAACTTCGTAGATTGCAGTGGCCGTTGCGATGGGGCCACCATCTACAAAGGCCTGCTCCGCCAGTGCAGCACCACCCTTGACACCAATCAATGCATATGATCCTCTGTAAGACAGACTCTCAATCAGTGTGGCGCCACAACTCCGGACGGCCGCCTGTGCAGCAGAGCTGATGTTGTTAGATGCATCATCCCGAGCACCTATCAAAACCACGGTGCCGTTTTCCAAACCCTGCAAGAAGCTCACTAGGTCGTCTGAACCAGAAGCAAAGGTGTCAAAGTTCTGAAAAGCGTCGAAAAGCCCAGCTGAGGTCAGCGTCACAACGTTCAACCCCCGGCGATCAAGCACCGCCAGCTCGCTTCCATCCAACATGAAAATTGCCCTGTTGCCATTGCTCCTCGAGGTGCTTGTGACCGTGATGTTGTACGATTTAATCGTATCGAACGTGGCCGCAGCAATGGCAACTTGACCATCTGCAAAGGTCTGCTCATCCAACGCCTCCAAGATTTCTGCCGTACCCGGCCGAAAACCAAACAAAACGCCCTGAAACTGAAACCCAAGCCTCGCAAGCTCATCCCTCGAATCCGATGCTCCAAACAAAGCACTGCTCCCTTCCAAAGGGGATGCGGCACCTGTCTTTCTGCTATTTGGGCCCGTACTATTTTGAGGGTACCTGCTTCTGGTGGGTTCATCTACCCCCACCCCCCCACCCCCCGCGCCATTTTGACACATACGCATTTTGAACGGAAACCCCCGGCTCGAAAGGCAAGACGGAATACCCACCCACCCCCCCACCCCCCGCGCCATTTTGACACATACGCATTTTGAACGGAAACCCCCGGCTCTCAACGCAAGACGCAATACCCACCCACCCCTTCACCCCCCCAACCCTTGGATTTCCACGGGAAAAGGAGGGAGGGAGCTAAATTTTTGGGCAGTTGTTTACTCCCTACACCCAATACCCGGCCGTTTTTCAGGGTATCATGTCGACCCTCTACTAAACAAGGAGGTATTTATCATGGAGACCCAGGTTTTCCCAAAAATACCCTAGAAAAAGTGGGTATTTGGAGTAGGGGGCATTCCCAAAACAGCTGAAAGCCATGGGCGGCTTTTCGGGTGGGCGGCTTTTCGGGTTCCAGGCGGGCCGGTGCTGCTCAAAGGGTCACCACCTGGGGTTATTTTTGAAGAGACTTCCCTCAAAAAGCACAGTGGAAATAAGGGAACGCAAGTTGGGTGGTTGTTTTAAAGAGGCATCCTCCCCCCCCCAAAAAAAAAGAAAAGAAAAAAGCGGGCTAGCCCCATAGCTTGCAGCTGCAAAGCGGAAACATGAAGAAGCAAAACAACACACGCCTGGAGGTCCTAGCCGTTTTTCCCCTCCTTCCACCCAACCCCCCCCCTTCGCCCTTCGCCTCCCCGCCCTTGATGCCGATCAACGCGTAGGAGCCCCGGTAGGTGAGGTTCCGGATCAACTCCCCGCCGCAGGCGGCGATGGCGTCTTTGGCCGCCAGGCTCATGTTCGCCCACGCGTCGTCCTGGAGAAGAAAAAAAAACGGGGTGCGCGGAATCCAGTCCGGTTCTCTTCTCTTTTTTTCGCCGGGGGGGCTTTTGGGTGGCGATAGTGCATGAGGTACTCAGTTACTCGTGAAGACCCAAAACATCAAAGAACAGCAAGATGTAGGTTCGCAAAATGTGGACTCCCTTTTGGTTGGCACTTAACGCAAGCAACTGGCAAACAGGCATGGGGACCACTGTCTCGAGAAGAAGCCCTGCAAATCGCAAGGAGAATCAAGACGAAGCCCCAAAAATGCCATGTCTCACAATCATGGAAGGTACCCTCACAACACTACGTTGCGTGAAGTCAGTGGGGGGCTTACACTGGGTTGCGTGAAGTCAGTGGGGAGCTCTCCAAAAAGAGTAACCCGGATCAAGAATGGGATGCACTCTCCGCCAACAAAACCGAAGCAGGCATCAACGTCTGTTCCCCGCTTAAAACCCACAAGACAAGGGGCGAAAAACATGATACAAACAAGGGCGACAAGCACAACAGAAGAACACAACCCGTTCCCCTTCAACGCAAAAAAAAAGAACCCAAACCGAACCAACTACCAAACTTTGTCCCCATTCCTGACAATCTTGGGTCCACCATCGCTGGCATTCTCTCAAAACCTTCCTCCGGGAGGAAGGTAAGGAGAAAAAAAGAATAAAAAAAAGAAGAAGAAGAAGAAAGAAGCTCTGAGCAGCCTGCGAAACCCCTCGCCTTTTTTCCCCCTTCTCCCGGACATGTCCGGCTTTCCCCTTCCCCGCGCTCCGCCCGCGCGACCCCCCGCGCCTTGACGCCCATCAGCACCAGCTTCCCCGGCGCCAGCTGCGCCACAAAGGCCTCCAGCGCCTCGGAGCCGGCGCCGTGGGTGTCGAAGCCGGCGCTGGAGGCCACCGAGCCGTCCAGGGCCACCACCACCTCGGGCCGCCGACATCCGAGGCGTGGGAGGGGAGCCTCTGGGGGGGGGAAATTTGGCCGCGGCGAAGTCGAGAAAAACCGCGAAAAGGAGCCGAAATGGCGCGAGCCCGATCGGTAAGTGGAAACATGGACACCAAAATTCTGCCGTTTTTGCCCCTCCGATCGTTTAATTTTGAGCCACACCCATGTGTGTGTGTGTGTGTGTGTGTGTGTGTGTGTGTGTGTGTGTGTGTGTGTGTGTGTGTGTGTGTGTGTGTGTGTGTGTGTGTGTGTGTGTGTGTGTGTGTGTGTGTGTGTGTGTGTGTGTGTGTGTGTGTGTGTGTGTGTGTGTGTGTGTGTGTGTGTGTGTGTGTGTGTGTGTGTGTGTGTGTGTGTGTGTGTGTGTGTGTGTGTGTGTGTGTGTGTGTGTGTGTGTGTGTGTGTGTGTGTGTGTGTGTGTGTGTGTGTGTGTGTGTGTGTGTGTGTGTGTGTGTGTGTGTGTGTGTGTGTGTGTGTGTGTGTGTGTGTGTGTGTGTGTGTGTGTGTGTGTGTGTGTGTGTGTGTGTGTGTGTGTGTGTGTGTGTGTGTGTGTGTGTGTGTGTGTGTGTGTGTGTGTGTGTGTGTGTCTTTTTTTATTTGGGCATTCCCTCTGGCTGTGTCTTCTGCTTTTTGGGGCGAGGCTTCCTTTAAATGGGAGCGCCTCTGTGGTTTCTGTGCGTCTTCTGTTTTTCGGGTGGGGTGCCTGTTTTCTGCCTGTTGTTTCTGACTTTTTGGAAAACAAGCAAGAGGGAAACCGGTTTTTCCCTTTCTTTTTTTTCGGGGGGGAAGGGGGTTGGGGTGTGTTATTTTCTGCTGAGGGTGCTGAATCAGGGCATTCTCTCTTTCTGGTAGAACAGCACGCCAAGTGGAAATAGATGGCACGACTGCCTTTGAGCCTGTAAGCACTCTGGATGGAAGCTTGGGCACTCGCCCCGGCTACCTTCGCCCAACTGATCATCAGGAAATCAGCCATATCCGGCTTCGTCCTGGCCTTTTCTGGCTGCGGATCAAGTTGGCGGCTTTCGTCCGGTGATTGGAGGTGTTGCCGTTTTTTGAAGGGTACGCAACCTCCTCACCTTCAAGACAGCCACCGAATCGATCGCGGGTAGAATGGGTCGCCTTGGCCAGCCGATTCAAGAACACACACGCACACCAAGGGTCAAGCGTGTAGATTTTGTGGCCAAGGCGAGAAACCAACCGAAGGTCGAAGAGCCGGACAAGGCAAACACCAGCTGCTGGAACCTCCCCCCTTGGGACCTGCATCCCGAGTTCGGCTTGCAGAGGCCATTTCCCAAACCCCCAGTCTCCTTTCGGTCATTTGGAGGTGTGTCATTTTGTGACCCCCAAAATTGTGGTTCTGTTGACTTCCCTTATAAAATACCAACCAGTTTTGGGGATCTTTGGGAGGCAAAAGTCCAAGTACCTTTTCCCGTAGCAGACCTTTCGTGGATTGTCCTAACCCGGATCCATACACACTGGTTGACTCGCAGGGGTCGTATATGTTGAGAGGATTCGTCTTTGTGGGAAATACGCTTGGGTTGCATTTAGTCATAACCTTTTCTTCTCCACACAAACTGTTTTGTGCCATCTAGTCTGAAAGGCTCTGCTCTGGACAAGTGACCTCTTGTCGGCCCACGTCTGAGTACACATAACATAACATGTTCTGATTCAGCATTTCTACCCTGCTCCTCAAGTATGAATTTTGTTGAAGGGAGACCTCAGAATTCGTGATGTAAAAGAACACTTCCCATTGCAGAATGGTCAAAGTCGCAAGGCAACCAGGCCTTGCCAAAACAAAAAGAGCTTTTATTATAGCCTATATTCAGTTGTGACTGAGCATGGCTCGAAGATTGCAAAGCAAACCGGGTCCCACGAAACAAGAGAAACTGCGGCGTGCCAGAAGAAATGTTGAACCCTGCGTCGCAGACCCTAAAACACTGCACCAAAGAAGGTGGTGGCTGAAAGAGTTGCTCTTTCTCAGACCTGGGAAAGAGCCGCGTGGCTGCCAAATCGGCCGGATCCACGCCCCTTCCAAGCCGCCACGTTGACCCCGCGCCCCACGGGGATGTCGAGCACCTGCGCTGGCACGTCAAATTTCGGCCCATGGGGAATTGTCCTAAGGCAGCCAACGGCGACCTAGGCTTCCATTTGCTTAATTAAGCCCCCTGGTTTTTTTTGTGATAAAACAAAACAAAACATATTCAATAGTGATAGATTATTGTTTAAACCAACAGGGCACAATTAAACAATATTCATTTCAGCAAATGGAAGTCGGCTGCAACCTCCGTTGCCGGGTGTGCTAAGAGACGCGGAAAACCTAAGCCTCCGAGTGAGTCCGATCCGCCCGCCTGGCCGTTCACCTCGAATTCCGCGTGGTTCCCGTTGCTCCTGGGAGCGGGGAAAAGCAACATGAAACGATCAATGTATTAAGAAACACGGCGACTTGGAGCCCCAAAATGGTACGTTTCTTTGGGGGTCGAATTTCAACCCAGGCAAAATGAAACCACATCTCTCATTCCCCTCTTCCATCCAGGCTGCGACCAAGCCGTTTTCCCAGGGAGCTTGGCGCTTTTGTGGTGAGAAGGCGCCCAAACAAGAATGTGGCAGCGCCACCCTTCAAAACCACAACAGGTACCCACAAGCCAAGACAAAGCCTCTTGAAACCATGGAGATTTTTCCAGTTGAAGCCCCCCGACCAAATCCTCCAGTCTTCGGCCGGTTTCGGAGAGCATTGGGACCCGGTCCCTTTGAAAGGAACATGCTCCGTCTTCCAGAGCCGATTCCCCGGTTCGTCCAGCTCCATGGTCGTTGGTGGGCGGTTACATCCCCTCAACAAACCACTAGTTGTTGGTTCCCCACCCCCCCCGGCCCCCTGTCACCCCCTCGCCCCCACCCCCCTCCACGTCTTCCAAACCAGTAGTTACGACTTCCCGCATCCCCTCAACAAACCACAGTTGTTGGTTCCCCCCACCCCCTGTCACCCCCCTGTCAACCCCCTGTCACCCCTTCCCCCCTCCCCCCCCACACCCCCCGTCAACCTCGAATAAACCAATTCCCTCCCCCCCCCCCTCCAGCGGCTTCCCCCCCTCCGCCCCCCCCCGCCCGATCCGGCGGCTCCTGGAGGTGCTGGTCACCCGGAGCTGCAGCTGGGCCAGGGCCATCTGCGCCAGGAGCCTCCGACGGCTCCGCTCGGAAGGCGCGGGCCGTCAAACCGGGCGAGACCGGGTCCACGCGGTTTTTTTTTGCACTTCTTGGGGCCTTGGACCACTGTTGGGTGGTAAATGAAAACTTGGGCTTGTGGGGGACAGTAACAAGTTTGGCCACTTGTTTTTGGGCAATCCGCGAAGTTGAAGGGAGAGGGAATCCTGGAAATAGCCCAGTTTCGTTCACATTTGTTCCAGACTCTTCAGCTGAAAATCGGTCGCAACTGCAGGGAAGAAACCAGCAACTGAACGAAGCAAGGTCATGTGGACCTCTGATGAAGGATTGATCCATCTTCAAGGATCCGAATGCTACGCACTTGCCCCTTACCTGGAAACAAAAGGTGATCACTTTTTGGGCTGACTAAAAATGGAAACCAAGAAAGGAAAGCCAAAAGGTCAACGGGTCGATTCGCTTTGGGCAAGGTTCATCTCGGATAAATCCGGAGGAATTTCAGGGATGGTCCCCCTGCGAAGTGGGGGGGGGAGGGGGTGATCTCTTTTGAGGGTTTCCTCGACTGTTGGAATCTTCTTTAGGGTAATGGGAACCCCGGATCGAAGTAGAACCCTGGTTGATTTTCATGAAAGTGTCCCTTTTTGATGACTACTCAGACTACTCCAATGGGGACGGGGGCGTCGTTTTGTGAGGTTACCGTCTTGAATGAAACCAAAGGAACACACAAAATGAGCCTTTTTTGTTTGGTTGATGGAACCATCGGCCGAGATCTTGTGCCAAACAAAATGGCTTCATAATGATTCAGTTGGACCTACCCTTTGATGGTAGCAACACAAGTTGACTTTTGCAGCCCCCTACTAAACATGAACAGAACCAAAAAACACAGAACAAAAAGAACCAAACAAACTTGCCAAGAACAGTGAACTCAAATGAGAAGTTGCCAAAAGTATGGATTGCATCCTTTGGGACCCTACCGCGTTGCGACAACCGCCTTTTGAAAGGAGACCAAAAGGGGGCAAGTTTGACAAACTCCAAAATGCAAGCAAATACGTCTATGCGCAAAAAAGTGCATACCTATGTATGCGTATCTCGTGTTATACATGTAGATATGTAGATGTATGTGTATATGTGTATATATATATATATATGTGTGTGTGTAGATGTGTCTGTATAAACAGAGATGTAGATGCATATTTATAAATATGTATATATATATATATATATGTGTGTGTGTGCGCGTGTGCTTCATTTGCAAGCTACATGTGAATACATCCCTGCAGGTTCATGCACAACCACGTAAAAGCAGCTCTTTCACGTTCAGCCGAGCCGCCAAATCGTCCTCATCGCCTTTCGGCATCCCATGCGGACACCCCCACCCTGCACTGATGTCTGGCGCCCCGAGATCGGGGCGCCGCTTTTGACGCAGCCTTTAAGGACGCGCCAAGCAGAGCAGGGTGCGGCGAAATTCGGTCGGGACGCCTCTGAGCCCAAACGACGGGCGCACCAGCCAGGCTGATCCTCCACAAAAACAAACAAAACAAAGCAAAAAGACCAGAACCGCTGATCCTCCACAAAAACAAACAAAACAAAGCAAAAAGACCAAAAACCGTAAAGGAGGAATACTAGTCAAATGGTTCCTCAAAAGTGACCATCTCCCCTGGCAGGGCACCTGGATTGAATCCAAAGTGAACATTCCCCCCAGGCGTCTCTTTGGCTGGGGCAAGTTTGGGTTGGAGAAATCCGGGGCCGATTTCCCGAGCCCGGATAAAAAGCCAAGCCAAACCAATGGGCGACCAAAAGCCCTCGTTGCACAATAGTCCAACCGCTCTCCAGGTGCGAGGGGAGAAACACCGCGTCCAGAAGGAACGCTAGCAACGCCACCATACGCCACCACGTCTTTGCGTTGAATGACCACATACATACACACACAGCCGCATCACTCCACCCGAAATCAGCAGAACTAGAGGATGTCATGGGTGTGCCTTTTTTAAGGGAACCCCGAAAGAGAGTTCCTGGATTAGCTTCTCGATCACATCTTCAAGCGTGATGATGCCCATCATGTGGACGTCCTTGGGGCGAATCCACGGACACGTCGGGGGGCAGTCCATGTGAGCAGCGCCCGAGACCTGTTAACGGCTGCTTCCATTCAGGTGGTGGCACAACTTATTATTGGGCTCGAGCAGTAAACCCCATGAGAAACCAGGTAGCAGAACCACCTATTCAACCGAAGCAAGCTTGAAAAGTGGCCCACACCTTCAA